GCAATACAGGAGACCTGGGTTCAGTCCCTGGGTCGGGAAGATCCCCTGGAGAAGGAAATGGCTACCCACTCCAGTATTCCTGCCTGGGAAGTCCTATAGACAGAGGAGCCTGGAGGGCTGCAGTCCATGGGCTCGCAAAGAGTCGGACACAACTTAGCGACTCAACAAGAAAGGTACCTGATGAATGATTTACCTCCTGGGATCACTGAGTGCCCTCTGCCTGCCCCTTTCCAGGCGGTGAACAGAAACACCTTCTCCCTGAGGACCCGAACCTGTCAGTTCTGCCCGAGACCAGACTGCTGCCTGATTTATTATCTAGAACACCCACTCGAGCCCTCGATGCTTGTGCAGAGTTTGGAATGGGTCCCCTGCACGGCTGCCTGTGTTGAGAGAAGTGACTTCTTTCTTGATGAAAGAGCCCACCCCGTTGAGGAGGTCTTCAGGAGGGGATAGGAGCACAGAGAGGCCTGCGCCAGGCCTTCGCTCTCGGCTGATGCCTGCCGACCTGGAGCTTGTGGCAATTACAGACGGCTTACATTCCGAACCCAGGGCAAGGGCTGGGTAAAAGTTCAGCTCATTCCCTTTAAAGAAAAAAAAAAAATTCTTCCTCTTTGACATTTCAGAGTTTTGACCCAGATCAGTCAGAGGCCACGAGAGCTCGCGATGTCTGGAGAGATCGTTTAGTTCCCGAGGCCTGAAGCTGCAGAGAAGCTGGAGCGAGCTAGTGACCTGCTGGGCTTGAGCTGAAGCCCTGTCTTTTCAAGCGTGCCCTGTCCCAGCCTCCCTAGACCTCACAGGGCGGACAGAAGGAGCGTGCCACCTTCCCCTCCCTCCAAAAGTTATCTTTACCCCCCTGAAACCAAACACTGCATACAGCCCCTGTGAAACTGCTTCCTGGTAGGCTCCGGCGTCCTTGCTAAGTAAACATCCTCCCATGTTTTTGGAACCGAATCCCCTTTCTGCTTCCTGGTCATCCCATTTGCATTTTTCTGTTCTGGATGCCATGTAGAATCAGGTTAATAGAAGGAAGACCTAGAATGGGGCAGGGGCACCTGAAATGACTGTTTCAATCTTAGTAAAACCGTAAGGAGAGTAACGGGGTCGTGGGAAGAAAAAGAGAAGACTTAGATGAAAAGTGAAATGAAACAGAACCTCCCAAACATCCTGCGATCATAAGGTTTTGCAAGTCAGAGCTGGTTCCCGCCAAGCGCCCGACGTGGGGACCTTCCTTTGCATGGGCTCAAGCTCTGTTGCTCTGTGGTTGAACCACAGTCAGCCTCCGTCTGTAGGCTCTGTGGCCGCATAGGGCCCCGCTGACCCCAAGTTGCTCTTGCCCCATCTCTCGTGACTTATTTGCCTCTTCTGTCTCACTTCCACCCACCCATGACATCTCCATCGCCATGGCAGTGAGCGGCCACGTCATTCACTAGGTTCACGGGGTGATGGGCCAACTCTGTGCTGAGCCCTACTTCCTTCTAGTTCTCCCTCCTGAAGCAGGAGGCTCCCTGGCAGAGCTCAAAGCCCTTTGTTTATTTGATCCTGGGCTCTTGGATAAATCAGGAATGTCCTGACATGAACTTAGGCATGTTTTTCTTCCATGGAAAAGGAAACTATGGCAAATGGTATTTAAGTAGGCAGAGGACCATTCCGGGGGACTTGCTTTGGTGCCATCAAGGCCACATTCCTTTGGTCATCAGACCAGTAGGTGACTTCTTTATTGGCATGCTCTACCCTGGAGCCCAGAAGGTGTGAATTTGAAGCACTTTCTCCCCTGCTGAGAGCTTGGCACAGATGCTCTGGACTTCTTTTAAAGCTGTGGAGTGCCATGGTTGTCTTCCAAGTGGTCTTCTTTCTGCTGGGTGAAACCTTGGCCCAGAGTGGTTGCTTGAAGAAGCCTGCTTGGGAGTCGAGGTATGGGATAAGGTGTCTGCCTGGCCTCTCATTCTCTAGCCGTCTGGAAGTTGCAAGGATCTCCATATGATATACTTTGAGGCAGCTGTCCTTGAACCTGAGTGAGCCTGAATACATCTCTCACTTCCTATCAGGGCTAGGCTCTTATGCTACAACTGGTCGTCAGAAACCTTGGAGGGTCTGCCTTTGGATGTGGCCATGTGGGAACCCAAGACACCCTGAGTCTGTCTAGGTGTGTGTGGTTCAGTGAGTTAGCATCTGAGCAGTTAGGGAACTATTTCTGGGTCGGAGGGCAGGAAAATGTTGGGAGTTGGAACTTTGTGCTCTGCTACAATGGAGACCTGTCAGTATCCAAAAACAAGCCCGGTCAGTCTCCAGAGCCTTGGTGGGAAACCCCTCCTTGTGAGCGATTCCAGGTTTGAATGCCCATGTATTACCATGGCAGGGGCAGTAGGGGGTGGGCTGGTGGATCCTTGTCTCATTAAAGCCAGTCATTGGCCGCTCGGGGTTCAGGCTTGGCTGCCACTCTGGTTTGCTGCTTTTCATGTTGTCAGAGGATCTTCTTGGGAACAAATGACTCAGCAACCTGAATCGTTGGGACTGAGTAGCCTAACTGCCTTTGAGAAGTGACTGGACGCATCCACCTAGGCCTTAAAATTCTGAGCCCCGGAAGAGTGGAGATCCTCTAGATTCGTCAAGCTGCCATTCAATTCCGTTTCTCTCACTCCTGCCCCAATAGAAGACTGGCAACTCATGGGGTAAGCAGGCAATGTTTTAATTACGCATTTTGTCCTTAGGAAATTCCAGGGAGAAAAAAGGTCCTGGTTTATGGCCAAAAAAAGCAGAAAATAACAAAAATCAGCTCCGGCTGTAATACTAGACTTGTCTGTGGCAGAAAGAGTTAATAGAACCGTGGGCTCAGGGTGGGGACCATTATTTTTTGAGATCCAGGAGAAGCTCCTATGGTTCAAGAAAAGATGATGCCACATTTAGTGTGGGACAGCCCTGTCTGGGCTCTGGGCACTGTCACTCAAAGAGTTAAAACTAGTCTTATGGCTGGGGAGCCCTCAGTGAAGGCGTGAGCTTGCGGGCACTAGGCCCTCTATGCCCCAGAGCAGTGAGGTCTGGGGTAAAAGGGGCCGGAGAAGTGCGGCCAGGGAAGCGGAGTGTAGGCCCAACTTTTTTTTGCCTTGTTTGACCAGCCTTGGCACTGCCCTCTGGCTCTCCAGGGGAAAAGCTGCAGTTCTGCTCTTGCAACACAAGGAGCAGACTGGAGAATTTAGATCTGCGTCACAGAGCTCTGAGAGAGAGAGAGAGAGGAGAGAGGAGAGAGAGAGAGCGAGCGCTCCGTCGATAGGTCTGCTAGCAACAGCCGTGCTGCAGCAGAGAGAGAGAGAGAAATCAAGAAACAAGTCATAGCAACACCGGGCACCAGGTTCTGCCAGCTCACTTGCCAAGCGTTCAGAAATCTGTCGGGGGCCGGAGGCCTCTGGGTAGCCTAGGCTAGGGAGATGACACGCAAGGTGGCACGGGCGGTTCCCGCGGGGAGGAGGTGGGGTGGCGGTGGGGGGCAGGGTTGGGAGCAAGAGGTTTCGGGGCGATGGCGGAAGGTTTGCCGGGACCAGTTTCTGGAACATTCGGGACTGCGGCACCTTACGGCCAACCGAGATTTGGGTCTGCGCAGGCGACGATGGGTGGTCCGACGGGCTTCAGGACTTGATGGCGTAACCCCCTTCTTCCCCCACGTACGTATTTGCTGGGATCGGGGGCGATGTCTCTGCGTATGTGGGTGCTCTGTCTTTCTCACCTTCTTTCTCGCTTTTTGCTTTTTTTTTTCCCCCTCTGAGGGAGGGTTTTTTTCCACTTTAATTTCTTTTCCCTTAGTGTCAGCTGCTCAAGCCTGACCAGGGTAGAGGAAAGAGTAGCAAGCCGTCCCTGGCGTCCCACCTGACCTCCCAGCCTTTACCCCCATTTCCTTCTATCTGGCAGACAGACAGACAGGTTTTCCAAGTTATTTGGGTATCAGTGTCTGTCCGTCCGTCCATACGGTTCTCAGGTGGAAGGTAAGGAGTGAGGAGGAGGAACACTGTGAGGAAGGCGAGAGGGGCAGCCTTTCCAGGGGTTGCCTGGTTTGAAGTGTTCATCCCTGGGAACCCAGGGCTGGTGGGGGAGCAGGTGGGCAGGATGGGGCGTGGGCTGGGAGAAGTGGGGTAAAGCCGGTACGTTTGTCACTGCGTAGTTGGGGAAAGTGGGCAATGGTGACGCAGTCACTGTTGGGTCTTGTTGTGGGCTCTGGGGGGACAGGTAGTGAGGCTCCTGCGATCTGTAGGGCCAGCTGAGAGGGGTTGAGGATGAGCTGAGAAGGGAAGCTAGCATTTAGAGATTAAATGTCATCCTTTTGGCTTTGGAAAGTTGTTTACCTTGCGCTCTCTGTGTCTCCATGTTGGCACCCTTCCAGTTCACATGTGATGGCCTTCCTTGTACTGCTGCATCATTAACTAAGTGACTGAGCTGGCCTTCCATTGGCCAGGGGAGGGCTCTCACTCCAGACACTTCCTCTGATTGGTGGGTAGGCCAATGGCAGGTGAAAACCTTTTTTTGATTGGCCGAGGGTTGGGTATCAAATCTGAATTTGCATTTCACTTGCTTAAAGGGGAGGGGGGAGAAGCCCAGCAGCTTTCTAAAATCTGTTTAGGGGTGTGCGTATGCTCCTGTGTCTCTGCTTGATTTTGACTGACCAGTTGAAGCCTCTTCCTGTGCCTTTTTAATTTCATGCACTATAAGGAAGAGTAGCTAAGGGCTCCTCCAAACTTTTCTTTTTGGAGGAGCAAGGGTTGGGGAGATGGGTACGCAGAGGGTTGACCAAACTGGAAGAGAATATTTGTTCTTTAGTGGGAATTTTCCGATCAGCCACACCTCAGCGTTGCGGCAAAATAATTCTTGGCTCCCCTGGAAACGCACGGGCAAGGTAGGGCACAGCTGCTACTGCTGCTGTTGCCACCACCCTGGGCTTCCTGCTGACTCTGGGCTACTCCCCGGGGACGAGAGATTTGCATTGACGTCCCGGGCTGTCCACAGATGAGCCCATTATGGGAAGGACCTGCCTTCTGGAAGCTGCTGCTCCCTGGTGCTTGGAAAGGTGAGGATGGGGACTGAGCCCGGCACACGGCTCAGAAACTGCATATTTATTTGGTGGGATTTCCAGGAAAGCCACGGGGCCACAAGAGACTTGGAGGTCCCAGGTTAGAAAGGTTTGTCATCCTGGGGAGTGAGGAGAGTGAGAGCAAAACTAGGGCAGCAGGCTGCTCGCCTCTGGTTGGGGGAGGAGGACTTGGAAAAATCAGGGTCCCAGCTCCCCATCCAGCCCTCGTTGCAGCCCCCACGTCCATGGGGAGGGGGTTTCAGAGCCCCGCATCTTGCGCAGTGGCCCCCGCCCATGACTGCGCATCCGAAAGCGCATTGCGCTCCGGGTCTCCGGCCTAGGACAGCACCGCCCTTCTTATTACATAATGGAGGGCACGGCTGTGCTTTCTCGGCCCTTCCTTGCAACTCTACCTCCTGGCTCCCCAGGGCCCACAGAACTGGGGAGGGTCTGGTGGGAGAGAAGTGAAAAGACTTGACTCCCCTGGAGGGCTCGCTCTTGTCCAGTCAGTGAGAGGGGCTGGGTTTGCAGACAGAAATGGACTGCCGACCCCTGTCTCGGGGTATGAAATGCAGAAAGTCCTTCTGAATGCCCTGTGTCACCTATGGGCCCCCAGGACCTGGCGGCGGGGGGGGGGGGGGGCGCAGGGGGCGGGAGTGGGGAGCCAGTGCCCTTTTTTCTCTTATGCTTTCTGAGAGGAAGTTTCTGAAGGGAAAGATGTGACCATTGGGAGAGTAAGGAAGACTTTGGGGGGCCAGTTGAGAGGTGGTTGACAGGTCCCCTCCCCTTGTCTCTAGCTTCCCTTTCCCTGGGTGGGTTGATGGCATTTGGAGACTCCTTTTTATCATAAGGCTGCCATTTTGGAGGCATTTCTGCTGGTCTCGGACATGGTGGCGTTGGTTTTTCTGGTCCTGCTGTGCCAGTTCCGCAGAGTGGGCGGGGGGCGGGGGCTGTGACGGAGGAGGGGGGGGGGGCAAAAGCGCAGCAGAGGCGGGCACAGTGATGGCTGCCGCAGTGAAGGTGGCCCCACGGGCAGGACTGCCCAGTGCCACCCTCGGACACAGCCCTGGGTGGGGGTTCCACCAGCTGGGGCCCCGGCTTTGCCCGAACGTGGGCACTGCTCACTGAAGGTCTGGGTCTCCCATGCCTTCGTCAGTCTGAGGCTTAGAGCAGTCCAGGGGGGAGGGGAAAACAGGTTTTTGAGGGGGAGGGTGAAAGCAGGGCTATGGCAGCTCATCTCCGACGAGTTGGACCTGTGGTGTGTGCTCCCCAAATAGGTTCTATCTCTGGCAGTCTCCCCATGGGGACAGGGGGTGGGGTCCATGGCAGCTTTGACGATCTGTTTGGATGGCCCTGCCCTTTTCCCATTTTTTCCCCTCTGTGTTCCTCCGCATGTCCCCTGCCAGGGCCATGGTTCCAGCTGTAGTCCTCCAGTGAGGCTTCTTGCCTCCCGTCCCTCTCCTTTCCAGGCCCTTCTGCGTGCAGCGGCCATCTTGTCTTTCTTGCTCAGAAATTTAAAATGGTTTCTCTTCGTCTCCAGAGCGAGATCCCTTCCCTTTAGCAGGATGCTGGAGGCTGTCTATGACTAGTCTTGTCTTAGCTCTCTTATACAGTCTCACCTTTCCGAGTTTGCCTAAGTGGACCAAGTATTCCAGCAAAACCAGACAACTTACTTTTTCTTGTGTTTTCTCTGTTCTCACTGCTATTTTCCATGCCTCCTCCACTGCACCCACCTGCGGCAGCCCCACTATCTCCCAAGGACCTTCCCTGATTACTTTCACGAGAAGCAGTCCTCATACTCATCCCTGCCTACTTCGACCAAACTCCCATTTCTTCATGCTTCTTTTATGCTACTTTAGATATGCTGGGGTTCTTTGGGTTTAAGTCTTATGTCACCTATTAGATTGTGAGCCCCAGGAAGCTAGGGGAAATAAAGGAAACATGTACCTATATGACGTTTTCTGTTTGGCAGGTACCACATCCAGTTCATTGACGGTGGTTATTTCATTTATTCCTCACTGCAACCCTGCAAGGAGTGGCTGGTAAGTGTTCTGTTCATGATTAGAACCCCGGTGTCTCACAGCCTTTGCATTTTTCTTCTCTCAGTCTTCAGTATCTATAAAATGCTTCTTAGGAGGTAGATCCCCAAAACGTGTCTATTTAAGGAGTTCTGTGAGTCCCTGATGCTTTGTGGGAGTTTGGGTGGCTCATCTTCCTGAACCCAGGGTCTGGGTCACTTAGCTCTTCCATGCCACTCTCCCTGCGGCCTCATTAACTTTCTTCTTTTGCTTTGAGGATAGGTTCACGCAAGAGGGTGAGTTTGTTTTATTTTTGTAGCTGAAAGTAATGGACTACCAAACCTCAGTTTTCCTCTTGGACGAGGAGGTGGAGGTGGAGTGGTTGCATTACCTTCAGGGCAGACAGAATAACTCCCGGAATCCAGAGATCCGTAGAGACTGAAGAAGCAGAGACGTGGCACTTTGGCAGAGCTGGGTCTACATCTTGACTCTGCCTCACTCATCTCGGTGGTTTGAGACATGTTACTTGATTTCCCTTAGCATCCCCGGTCAGTGAAATGAAGCCACTATAGCTACTACACAGAAATGCCTAATATATTGTCAAAAAGGTAAGCTCCTAAGAGAAAGCGATGCAGCTTCGTTCCCCCAGCCCAGTTGTCTGCTGGGGACTTAAGAAAGGAATATACGAGGTATCTCGAGGAGAAATGGGGAAGCAGCAAGCGTATGTGTCTTCAGTGGTATTGTAGGCAGGGGCAAGGAGGAGGTAACCGGGCAGTAGGCACCTGAAGCCTGCAGGTCATGCCTTTCCCCACCGGGGCTAAATACCCGCTCTTGCATTAGAACCTTCTGAATCAGGAAAGCACCATGGAAACGTAGATGAGCCATGTGGTGGCAGACTGAGGGTTAACCAGTGAGCCTCCCTGGGATCCTTTTGATGCCAGGTTAGTTTCCCTTCTTTAACAGTGCAGCGGTGGCTGCCCGCTTCCTGACGCTGTCGCATCCCGTGGGAGGGGAGTTGGACACCCTGAAGCCCCTCGTCGCCAGTTCCGGGGCTGCAGAGCAGGGAGTGACGACAGCTCCTGAGTCGTCAGCCGACGGCAGCGGGGACCCTGGTGACGGCTGCTTTGTTGTTTTTTTCCTCTTCGGATGATGACTCAGTGTGTCGGGAGCCGGGAGATGGAGCACTCAGCCGAGTGGCCAGGACGTTCTGTCAACACGAAAGCAGCAAAAACAGCTTGTCGCGGCTCAGAGCTGACCCTGGGCTGGGGTCATTTTCAGGAAGGGCTTAGCAAAGGAAAGGCGACCGCCACGTACTGGGTTGGCAGAGGTGATAGCGGGTAACTTAACAGGGCTCTGTAGACCCTTGAATTTTAGAACCTGAAAAGAAAACGCGGCCATTTGTGTTACTAGATGAGCCTGGCAAACAGGATCACTTCTTGAGCTCCTCACACTCGTCCCCGACAAAGAGACATCTTCCCGGGTGCAGAACCGCGCCCCCCCCCCCGGGTGGGGGGATTTCTTAGTGTGGCTCATTGCCTTGGACGGAAGGCAGGTCCCTTTATTTTTTGGGGGGGGAGCAAGAGTGGGGCCTGGCAGCCCTAGTGCCCGTTGTGGGGATGTGGTGTTTTGGGGGGGTTTCCTCTGCCGGCGTCACGCAAAGATGGTGGCTCCCGCATCACCTGCCTCAAGCCGAAGACCAACTCTCTCCGGCAGCCTCGCTTCAGCGTCCCCTTTCCTTATCCCAAATCCCAAGCTTTTCTTCTTCTTCACCATCTTGCTCACTTCCTTCTCAGGTATCGTGGTGGGCCTTGACCTCCGCGTCTGTCTGTGTGGGTGTGTGTGGTGCGTGTGGTGTCATCATGGCGGCTCGGGCTTCTAGGCTTTTCTCGCGTTTGCAGCAATGCGCTTTGTGCGCGTGACGCCCCCGCGGCCCCGCCCCGCCGCCCAGGCCCCGCCCCGCCGCCGGGCCCCGCCCCGCCGCCCGGCCTGTCCCTGAGACCCAGGGAGGAGACGGGCCCTCAGCTCTTTCGCCGCAGAATCTCGGCCAAACCACCATCATCCCCAGCATCTGGCTTCTCTTCTCTCCTCCCCCGCTGTCGGCCAGCGTCTGGGGCAGAGGAGCAAACAACTTGTGGGAGGGGATGATGGAGGGACAGACAGCCTGGCCGAGCTCTCTGGCCGCCTCAGCCTGGGTGCCATTTTTCTCAGCCTCCTGCAAGCCTGTGGACGATGCCCGCTCTGACCTTTGTCGCCGCGCACTTCCTCTTCCCCTGAGGACCTCCCCGCGTGACTCGTTGGGATCTGGGGTCATGGGAGCTCAGAAGGAGCAGGGAGACCTGGCCCAGGTCCCAGAGGACAGCTGAAGAGACAGGCGAGGGGTGGGAGCTGGCCGACCCCACCCAAGTACAGAGGCAGCCCCATCACCACCCCCCACCCTTTTTTGCAGTCATGTCTTTTCCACCCTAAGTAGAGAGCAACTTGACCTGAAAAAATTCGTGTCTCTATGTGGGTGTTGGAAGGTCTGTGGATCTTTGTCCGGAATCTGTGCGGTGCTGAGAGCCCAGGTTCTGTGCTTCAGGGAGCTGTTGTCCTTCGGGTTTGTTTTTGCAGCAGTGTGATGGATAGGTCCTCCTCGACGAGCCCCTGTGCCCGCTGCGGTTGGCCTTTCTCCAGGACGCTGGGCCCGGCCGTGGCCCTGCTTCTTGTCGGTGGACGGGGCTCCGCAGCGGAGGGCCGTGTCCGGGGGCCCAGAAGAGACCCCGATGATTGGGGCCGGCGCATGGTGCCTTGCCTGGTGGTCCCTGGGAACTGAGCCCACCTTTCACTTCTTCCCCACAGAGACCTCAGGGGAGTTCGGCTCCAGGAGTAGGTGACAGCCTGCTGGAGACTCCGCTGATGACGTTGCTGGCGTTCAGAAGACAGTCGTCATCCTGTGGGGTAAACGTGTTGCCTGTTTGCGTGTCTTATTTGGAACACACACAAAAAGGAGCTGCCTGGCAGCCTGGCTCTCCGCAGTAAGTATCTGCATTTTTTTTTTTTTCCCTTCGAATGTCGGAAGTGGAAGGATGCGGTGCTGAACCCAGCCGCCTCTTGTGCCTTCTCCGTTCTTTCCTGCACAGCCCAGCCCTCAACCCTCCAGAAGCGGGGACTGGATCCGTTTCCCCATGCTGCTGGAGAGCTGCAGAAAGCCTAGCACTCACTGTTCTGCTAGTGGGTTCAGGAGAAGTTGATTCTCCCTAAAATGGAGCCAAGAGGCCAGGTCCCCCCGAACTGAGTGTTCACAGACTGAATGGAAGGGCCCTGCCTGTGCTCACTGCTCCCAGCAGGGAGGTGACTCTCAGTTGCCTGGCTAGGGGCGGGTAGGTGGGGGAGTGGCGAGGTGGGGGATGTGCTTTGCCAGCATCTAGCATGGTTCTCTGCCAAGTTCTAGCTCCAGATCGCTAGGCCGCTAGGAACCTAGACTATATATAGCATTGTGCTAAGCAATTCTTATCGGACCTGCCTGTCCCCTCACCCGCATGGGGACGAGAGCTTCTATCAGAAAACCAGAACCTGGAGAGAGTTAGCCACCTCCACGGGGCCTTTTATTCTGGGAAGGGGTGTGGGTGTGTGTATGTTGGTGTGTGTGTGTGCATGCACATGCATTTGTGTGTCTGTGTACATGTGTCTGTGTCTGGTCGTCTAGTTCAGGGCTGCCAATCTTGCTTTCTTCCCCGTTTCAGATGCTAGCAGATTCAGAACCTTGCGGGTGCTGATGACGTAGGCTGAGGGGCGGGAGGAGCTGGTGGTTCTCGAAGGATCCTGGGTTGGTTGGGAGGAGATGCTGGCACCCAATGTGGCTGAGAGTACCATGTGGCCTCCACTGTGTCTTAACAGCTTCCGGTTTGCCCGGCTTTGCCCAAGCATGTCTTGACCTCTCCCTTCCTTCTTTGGAACCTTCTGTCTTCCCTGCCTTCCTCCAGCCCTGCCTAGTCCTTCCTCTGATTTGTTTGGGATGGATGAGGCAGCCCCGGCTCTGGGCATCCGGGAGCTTGTCTGTGCCCCGCCCGCACCCTCGTTTGGGGTTTCTGGAAGCCTGGCTTGACCGGCAGAAGGGGTCAGTCTTCCGCAGAGGAGCTGGGTGGTGAAAGAGTGCATCATGCTGGGAGGCACGGGGCAGCGATGCCTGGGTCTCAGCCTCCTCCTTCTCAGACGTGCTGTTGAGCCCACAGTTTGTGTGGTTCTGTGACCGTGAGTGCTGACAGACGTGACGTGACCCTGGGCTTGTCAGCGAGCCACCGCCAGGCTGCTTCTCGGAAACCGGTCACAGGAAGGAAGATTGGATCCCACCACCTCCCCACCTCCCAGGTAAGTCAGGTGTGGGCCACACTGTCCAGCCCGCCCCCAGCCCTTCTCTGTCTCCATGGAGGGCGTTCTCCTTACTCAGTGGAGAAGCCTCAGACTTCTCCATTCAGAATCTCCCAGACAATTGCTCTCTTCTTTGCATTCTCCTCCTCCTGGCTTTTCTGTGAATGGGGTTAGTAACCAGCGAAGGCTTGGGGGCTGGCGGGCAGCCTAAGTGATCGGAAGCCGGCGATGGTGGGGGTGGCAGCTGGCAGAACAACCATCGGGCCTCCTGCGATCGCTGCCCTCCCCAGACCCCTGTGTCCAGCACTAGGTTCTGGGTGCTGAGCCCTCAGAGGGGCTGGGAGCTAGGCCGCCTTTTCCCGTGTCCTCTCTTACCTGGACGCTGGGGCACCTTTAGCCTCACTGGGCTTTAGTTTAGGCCCGTGGCCTGGACTTTATGGACTGTGGGCTGGGCACTGAACTTTGGGGTTCTTTCCCTACCTTAAGGTTTGGTTTTTGTTTTTGTTTTTTTTGAGTGAGTTACTTTTTTACTCTAGGGCCTCATTGCCTTTACTTTAAAATCCTGGCCCAGTGAGCCATTGCAAAGCATCTCCAGGCAGTTGACGTAGGAATGTTTTTCTCGCGGCCGCACTAGATACTGGTCACAATAACAGTGGTGGTGATTAAAAAGGATGAGGCCTACGGAACTGGGAGATCTGTCACTTGATGGAGATGGTGCAGACTGAGGCACTGCACACCTCCTCAGGAGATCTCTCTCCTGTCGAGTCGATTCCTGCCCCATCTGAGCCAGTAGGGCCGGATGGAGAGAGCTGACAGCCGATCACCTGGGGTCTCAAGACCAAAGGGATGGTGCCGGGGAATTTTATGATGTACTCGGATGATATCACGAGGCCCCTATGGGATCCCAGCTCTCCACTTGTGCCTCGTGGATGAGGGTGATGTTTCTGCCCCCACCCCACCCCCCGCCCACCGCTTTCCCCGGGAAGTCTGCTGCATGCTGCCTCCCAGTGTTTCATCTTCGCCTCTTCCCATCTGAGAAGAGACTCTTGAGTTGGCCCTGAGCAGCCTGGGATCCTTGCTGAGCGGATTTGGAAGAGTCCGATGTCTCTTCCTTCAAGGAATCTGAAGCCTCAGCCCCTCTGGCAGGAACGGAGTGAGGGATGGCTAGGGGTGTTGGACCTGGAACAGGAATAAAGCAGACAGATCAGCTCTGGTGCAGCTGGGGAGATGAAGAGGGAGCCGGCCAAGTCCCTCAAGATGTGCCGGCTAGAGTCTGGCCAGCGCTGGCTGCCGGGCTGGAGCCAGATGGAGTCGCTGGCCGTGCTGGGGAGCCGCGGCTCCCTGTGCTCAGCGCGTCCCCCGGCCTGGCTCCGGGTGCCCGCTGCCGTGTTCACAGCCCTGCCCCTGGCTCGTCGTCAGGGGGTCACCAGGGTACAGAGGTGAGTGTTGCTCCCTGAGACCCCATTGTCTCTGGGGCCTCCGGTGTCCCCCCGGATTGGGGCTTGGTGCTCCCCTGCCGACTTGCCCAGCTTTCTCCCTCATGTCATGCGTTCCTTCCTTGCTGCTCCCCAGCCTGGCTGCTCCAGAGGTGACGTGGAACATTGTGTCAGAAGCCAGGCTGGCAGAGCATTTGGCATCACCCCCCCCGCCCCCAAGAGGGGGGCCAGGCAGAGCCGGCGCTTCTCTGTTGACCTTTGAGTCCCCGCGGTCTGGGAGCCCGGAGGCGGCGCGGGGGCCTCTGTCCAGCTGGGGTCCAGCCGAGGTTAACAGGGCCGCTGGCCCTGGAGCCGCGCTGGTGCGGCTTGGCCGGGAGGCGTGCGGGAGGGGCCCTGCCAGGGGGCCTAGTTGGTCAGCTTCTTCCTTTCCGTCGACTCCTGGTCTGCTCAGGACCGCGAACTGTTTCATGCACAGCTTGACTTTGTCCCCAGGCATGAGTGCCCCCCGGGGCTGCAGTGGGGCTTAAGTGAGCATCTGTACTTTGTGCTGGTCACTTTGTTGGGCATTTTGTTGCTGCGCTCTTCCCCACCCCCCCACCCCCCACCTCCGAAATATGTGAGAGTGCCTTTTCCACTCGCCGGCTGTCTGTGGGAGGCCCTCCTCATCTTGCGTTTCTTTTCTGGGACTTGGAGTGTCTGTCAGGAAAGCGTAGACGCGGTTTGGTTCCTTGCTAGCTCCCTCCACAGGAGCTGCTCGTGGGCAGATGAGGCCAGAGAACGCCTCCAGCCCCCCTGGGCCGGTGCAGTCGCGTGGAGCCCCGGGCAGGGGAGGAGCAGGGGGGCGGGGATGGAGAGCCACGCAGGGGAGTGTGGGGGTGGGGGTGGGGGTGGGGGAAGAGTTGTGCAGCATCTGACCGCAGGATCAAGGCCGGGGCGGGTGGGAGGAGGCTGCCTGTGGCAGCCTGAGCAGACACGTGTGCGTGGCGCCCGGATTGGGGTCTGTAATGAGGCCCAAAGGCCTGAGACAGGCCTCAGAGTCCTTGGTCTTAGCATGCAGGCCAGAGAACCAGCCTTTGTTAGGCCCCCTTTTGCCTATCTGATTACATGCTCAGAACAATCCTTTTATGATTGAAGACACAGTGATTTGGTTAAGTGACTTAAGCAAGGTTACATGCCTGGTGGGTGGCGCTCGTGAGATTTAAACGGGCACCTCTGAGTCCGAAGCCTGCACATTTTCTTCATGCTCTTAGGCTGAAGTCCGAGCTGAGACCCTCAGAGGATCGGCAGCCACTGTGACCCGGAGGGCAAGGCCAGATGCTCTGTGATCCCCGTGCACAGGCAGGTAGATACATTCCTTCCACGAGGTGTCTTCAAGCCTCTGCCGTATATGTGCCAAAGACAGTGCTCAGTGTGGGGTTGCTGGACTCAACAAAACCAAGCTTCTGCCCTTGGGGGGTGTATATCCTCGTGTGGGGGAGATACCGTTAATGCTAGTAAACAGGATTTAAAAACAGACGTATATGGAAAAGAAGGACCTTCATCCTTATGCAGAAGTGGGATCCAGATGTTGGTCGGGGAGGGAACTAGGGAGACTGAAGGGCGTTGGCCCCAGGGGAAGCCATGTTGATTGAACCTCCGGAGAGAGCTGACATGCATTCTAGCCCTTCTCGTTTCCCACCAGCTGGGAAAATCCACCCGCAGCCCACAGAAGCTCACAGAAGCCTGCAGTGGGTCAGGAGTCAGGATGGCCGTAGCTGTCAAACCATTGGTCACCAGAAGACTAGGGGTTTTTTTCCCCCAATAGCCACAGCTACTCCTGACCTCCTGTCTCTCCCACCCTTACCAGGCGCCAGATGGCATCTCCCCCAGGGCCTGGTCACCATGCCCCTCTCTTGTCCAGGCAGTGCTGGGGGACACTCGGGGTCAGTGTTTGCCGAGTCACCAGTAGAACATGTGCCCACAGGAGGCGGAGCTCCACAGAGCCGCCCTTCTGCCAGCACGCGTGGTTCCAAGAGCCTCACAATAGGGAAGGGAAGGGAGGGGAGTCCCTCGGTATCAGATGCTCAGAGGAGCTTTGTGTCCTGAGAGGTTGAGGCAGGTCGGTAGCTGGGGATGGGGGAGGGCGCGTTTCCTGTGTGCAGCACCGGGACCCGGGCCTTGTTTACACGGTAGGAGTGCCGTGGCTGCCGGGCCGGGCTGAGGCAGGCCACGTGACTCACCCGCTCTGGCACCACAGTCCTGGCGGCCCGGCCCACCCTGGCCGTGCAGGCTGCCACCTGCTGCCAGGGGGCCGGGGTTGCAGCGGGACCGAGTGTGGGCCTCGGTGGTGCGTGCCTGTGGGGGCTCACGGAGCCCGCAGACAAGTCAGCCGGACAGGGGTTCTGGCTCCCTTGGTAGAAACGTGCTCCCTCACTTCACCTCTGTGGGCCTCAGTTTCATTATCTATAAAAACGAGAGGGTTGAACCAGAATCTTCTCAGAGGTTCCTGTCAGCTCTGATACGGAGGCTCCCTGGATGTTTGTGGAGGTATTTCTCTTCTTTATTATTATTATTTATCTATTTTTGGCTTTGCTGTGTCTTCGTGGCCGCGTGCAGGCTGTCTGCAGTGGCAGAGAGTGGGGGCTGCTCTTCACTGCCTTGGGCTTCTCATTTCGGTGGCTGGTCCTGCCGCGGAGCACAGGCTCTAGGCCACTGGGCGTCAGGAGCTGCAGCACGTGCGCTCAGCTGCCCCGCGGGATGTGAAATCCTCCTGGACCAGAGATCGAAGCCGTGTCCCCCCGCCGCATTGGCAGGCAGATTCTTAACCACTGGATCACCAGGGAAGCCCCGTGGAGGTATTTCTTAGCCAGAGACTCGGGACCTGCGTTACTAGGAGAGGGGAGGGACCCTAGAGACTTGTCTGCATGCAGCGGTAACCATGTTGCCTGAAGGGACACTGTTGGAGTGAATTAGGGCGGGCGGGTGGAGGCACTTTTCGAAATACGCCGGAAGTAAATGCGAAAGGTGGAGACCGTGAAAGTGTCTGCTGAGGCCCCTCCGGGTGACTGAGGACATGGACCCCAGCTCCTGCTAAGAGCTCGTCTGGAGACGGGCCGCGTGGGAACTGCGGTGGGCTGGCAGGGCTGCGGGGGGTGACCTGACACGCTATGCTCCCGGAGAGATTTGCCCTCCCTTTTTGGCCCTAAATCCTGGAGAGGAAATAGGTCTGCAGGATCCCTGTGTCCTCTGCCTTCCCTGAAACTTCTCAGGGTCTGTGCCCCTGTTGCTGTCAGGAAGTTTCCCTTTATATTTAGCCTTTTTTTCATGTGATTGTTAAAGCCCTTCTATTTAAAAAAATACAGGAGCAAAGAAAACAGAAATATCTCAGAGCCACCAGTTCCATTTTGGCTTTTTAGTCTTGAGCCCCTCCTTAAAAGACAGCAAAAATGAAAAACATGTATGGCAAAGCGCAGGGTCCCAAGCCCTTCTGGACTTGTGTGCAGAGCCAGGCTGCAGCCAGGCGTGGCGGGGCCTTGGCCTCCCTGCTCCACGGTGGCCTCGGTCCCTGACGTCCACTGCGTCTCTGGGGGTGCGTGGGCAGGGGCCCCGAGGCGGAGGCACATGCTGTGCAGCCCGCTAGACAGAATGCAGAGCTTTAAAAATAGCTGCATTTCTCGCAAGATGCTATCTGCTCGCTACTCTCTAGGACACTTTACCTGGGCTTCGTCACTATGAACCCAGCCTCCTGGATTCCCAGAATGGTGGTGGGAATGGGGATTGGGGCTCAGACGCAGGCAGGAGAGGAATTGCCTGGTGAGCGTGGTCTCACCTGCCCCGCGTGAGGTTTCACGGTTCTCTTCACGTTTGCCAGTTCGTCTGACCTTTCACGCCTTGTGAGGGTGCGTGGGTGGTATGAGCCCGGTGGCTGATGACCCTGAACTGGAGAGAATCCTGCTTGTACCTGCGTAATTTGGGACACTGTGCATCCAGGTCCCCTGACTCTGGGTGTTCTAGCCTGGGGACCCATGGGGAGGGGTGGGGACGGAGGTGGGTCTTGGGCAGTTGATTTGGCCATTCTAGGTCTCGGGTCTTTTGTCTTATGTATTGAAGGGGCAGGAAACCTCAGAGTATCTGGGTTCTCCGTTTTTTTCAGCTCTCTCGGAGCTCTCGTGAAGACTGGCGTGCGCTCTGTGGCTGGGAAGCCAGCCATGCACCATGCGTTTTTGGTGAGGTTTCTTGCATTTGGAAGCTTCTGGAATATGCTGTGCTTCCGACCATTCTGACACGTCTGTACAGCACTTCATGTTTGCGCATATGGTCTGTTTCTGCCAAGTAGCGCTCTCAGAAATGAGGCCTCACGGTGGGGTCTCTGAGACTTTTTCTCCATCAGACTTGTAAGCATTGCTTATAGAGCTCTGCCTAGCTGCTCGTTACCTGTTTGCTCGCTACTTAACGTGCAGCACCTGCTGGAAGAGCCGGCTGATGTGTGATGGAAATGCTCGCTTCAGCTCTGATTGTTTGCGTGATGACTGATTTGAAGAAGTAGGCCTTTCCTGTGGAGAAGAAGGTGCTGAGAGACTCCTTGGGCAGCTGTGTTTTCTAAGTACTGACCCAGCCCCCACCCTCCACAGGGGCTTCTGAAGCAGAGCGTGGGCTGCACGACTCCTTGGCCATGCAGCCCTCTGTGTGGTCTGCATTTGGTTAGGAAGGGGGAAGGAGGGAGTGTTTATAGCATATTTAACCATGGTGACTTAGGCTTTGTCTAGGGGGTGTTTGAGGAAGAATTGGAGTTGGGTGGGGGGCAGCACACTTAGGTCTGCACCATCTGTCCATGCGTACCCCCTGAATGCGGCCCTGGCTTGTAGAGAAACGCTGTGATGGGGAGGCCACCTAGGAGTTGTTTTGGTGGCTGCAGACTTCAGGGACTTGACGTGTGAACGTTTGTCATTCCGGACTCCGTCTGGGCCACCGTGGCACCCCGATGGCTCCCGAGGAGAGACGGGGCTGCTCTATCCGAGAGCGGGAGCCTGGCGGTCCTCGGGAGGGCCTTTGGGGCCTGCGTCCGTGAACGCCAGAGCAGCACAAGATGTGGGTGCTGGGATCCGGTGTGGGCTCCGCTAGTCCTTTCTGCCTCTGAGACACACCTGAGCTCGGGATGGGGAACACGCGAATGTTGTTTCCCTTTGCGGAGAGAACTTCTGGCACCAACCCTGTGGGACTGATCGTATTTGCAAATAAAAAGGGAGAAAGGCACGTTCACCCCTCATCCCTGCCGGGAGAGCGCTGAGCTGCTCTGATCCTGATTTGTATCAGCCCCGCCGCCATCCTGCCGGCTGGCTTCTCTGCACCTAGGGATCGCTGACAGGCATCAGAGATGCATTGTGTGAGAGTGTGTGTGTGTGTGTTTGAGTGTGTATGTGAATTGTGTGTGTCTGTGTGTGGGAGAATGTGTATATGTGAGTTTCGTGTGTGTGTGTGGGAGAGAGAGACGGTGTCTGTGAGTGTGAATGCGGCACATGAGGCAGGGCCATACTTTTGTTGGCTGGAGAAAGGCAGGAGTTGGAAGAGGAGCTCTCAGCGCAGGTACACAGCTCTGGGACCACCGGCATTGCCGGCTCTTTTAAAGGCGTGAGGGTGTGTTGAAGCACACCTAACATACAATTTAGAAGTGACCAAAGTCCAAAAATCAACCAGTTTATGTCTGAATGAGGGTTGTGTTAAATAACAGAGAATCGTATATCCTTTAGTATTACTACCTTCTGCGTGTTTAGCATCGAAAGACCTGACAAGTCAGGAACCTTCCACTGCCGCCGCCCCCCTGCCACCACCGTCTGTAAGCTCCTGCTTCTTTCATGTCAGTTTTTGGTCTCCCTTCTTGTCTGTTTCCCACCCTCGCTCCTTAGGCATACAGGAATATCTGTCCTTGCGTCTGTGGTATCGTTTCCTTGGGGACCTGTTCTTCCAGTGTTTCTGACATCCTAAACGGTGTTCCCTTCGTCTCACATGTGAACACGGTGCAGGCTTTCTGCAGAGGTGAGCCGTTTCTGAGATGGGGCAGCTCCCCGCCTGGTCCCGGAGGAGGTCGTCTAGACCCCTGAGGAGAGCAGATCAAGGGTACCCACGTGGGGGCCAGCTCGGGGCCCTGTGCATCAGGCTTCCTTTCTGGGGTGGGAGTTGCTCAGGCATGAATCCCCCAGCCATCCTAGCTGTTGCTGCTTCTCAGCTTGAGCCCTGAGTAGCGGCCTTGAAAGTCTGAGACCCCGTCCCCCTGCTGGGTTGAGTGCTGGCAGAGAGGGTCAGAGAGGAAGTGAACATGGGCTCCTGGCCACGGGCCTCTGTCCGAGACAGGTGAGCTCTGTGTTCAGAAAGGAACTCATCTAATCTTTTGGCCCTAATGGCCCTATTTGTGTTTTTTCTCCCTCTCTCTCTTTTCTCTCCTCCCTCTCCCTCATCTCCCTCCCCCGCCTCCAGAAGAATTTAATCTGCCGGACAACAAACAATACTGTTATAAAACTTGGAAAACAAGAGGGCGAGGCCTCCCTGACAAGGGGAAGGGCATGCCGGGTAACTGCCAGGGAGCCTGCCAGGCCTGAGACGGAGCCGGGCGAGGGCCCAGTTGGCTGGGCACCTGGGTGCCCGCCCGGGCCTGGCCCACCAGCCATGCCATCCCCGGTCCAGAGGGGAAGGAACTGAAACACAAGTGGGGGCCCAGAAGCACTTGAAAAGGGGAAGTAGTCGGCGTTCCCCTCTCCGATCTGATGGGAATGCACTAGACTGTGAAACTTCCTCCTCCCTCCTCCCCTCCCTCCTCCCCTCCCTCCTCCCCTCCGCCTTCCCTCCTCCCCCTCCCTCCTCCCACCACTCTCTGTTGCAGGTCCCGGGCCGGACTGGCAGACCAGGGTCCTGATAACAGAACGAGGCTGGCATGAGCAGTTTAGGCGCAGCTACCTGCTGGGCCAGCTGCAGGGGAGGCGGGAGAGGAGGGTGCTCCCGGCTGGCCCGGCACTGCAGACCTACCCTCTGTTTGCCCTCCCCCACCTAGGGAAGTGGAACCAGGTCAGGGGCGCGCCCCGGTCCACGTGCTCCGCCAGGTGTGGGCCCAGGTACCGGGTAGAATTGCCGCTGGGAGGTCCGTGGGCGCTCTACGAGCTTCCTGGTGCCCACTGGGGGCACGCTTCTGGGAGCATGTCCAGCTCTGGGAGAGGCCCCGCTCTCCTTCCAGGAGGAGTCGGGCAGCGCCGCAGAGGCTGGGCACGCCTGTGGACCCGTTCCCACAAACGGACACAGTGCTTCTCCCCACAGGCAGGCGTGTGGCCCTGTGAATGGGCCTCCCCCGGGGGGCCCTGTGCCTCGGCCTCCCCCGGGGGCCCTGTGCCTCCTGTTCACTCCAGTGTCAGGGATCCTGAGTTCTGGGTGTCTCTTCCCCCAATGTCCAGGGTTAGGTTTCCCCTGATCCTGAAGTTTCAACCTCCGAGTGCATCTTGACCGGGTCAGTAAATGATGTTGGGGGGACAAGTGGGGAGTGTTGGTGGCTGCTTCTGGGGACCTGCTCTGGCGCGGAGCCGCGAACTGAGGTGGGCATTGTGCATGTGACACTGTCCGCACACTCCCTTTCCTGCTTGTGGAAAGCGCCAACTTCCGTGAAGGCAGTCCAGCACTGTGCCCACGCCCCACCCAGGCAGAGCCACTCTCTGGGCAGCAGGGAGCCATCCTTGACCCCGTCTTCACCGCCCGCCCACTGCTCTTGCTGCTCCCCCGGGCCCCACGGCATCCCCGGGGCAGGGTAGCCTTGTGCATCCTCCCGGCCTGGGGCCTCCATGCCCTGTCCTGAGTCCGGGAGGTGGGGAGATTTCCAGACCCAAGTTTTGCTGGTGATGTCGAGGAAGGGACGGAAGCCTCAGAACGTAGGCCCCCGTACCCCGGCCCCAGGAGAAGCCGGAAGTACAGGTGCTGGCCCCGCCGCAGCTGAGATGGCAGTGATTTCTGGCCTTGTTATCTCAAGGGCGTTGTGCGTGCGCGGTGGGGAGGGGTGATGGTTAGTGGGTCCGCGCAGTGCCACCCCTACTCTGGGATCCTGGGCGGGCAAAGCATGGTGGCTCCCGGACGCTGAGCCCTCCTTGAGGCCTAGCCGCCCGAGGAGAGCGAGCCAGCTCCATGCCCTTGTGCCTCCCGGCCCCCTGCACCTACACCTGTCGTTTTAGCTCCCTTTCCTCTGATTGGTTAACCACAAGCTAGTTGGCCACAGGCCCCACCCTGACCGCTGGAGACAAAATGTTCAGGACACTGGGCCGGGGCTGGAGCTGAGGGTGGCAGGAAGCTGGGCATGGCCTCTGTGTTCAGACGGACAGTGGTCCAGGAGTGCCTCGAGGGTAGACCGCTCCCCGTTCTTCAGGAGGGCTTTCTCAGGGCCCCTGTCTCCCCAAGATGACTCTTCCTCACTACTGGGAGCCCCGAAACCAGCATTCCCAGCGGCAGGAAGATGGATGAGCTGGCCTCCACTTCCGGCTCTCCTCCCCCGCTCCGGCTGGAACTTGCGTCAGTCGCGTAAGTAGCTGTGACTCAGCACCCAGCGGGTCGGAGGGAGGGGGAGGCTGCCGCCTCCCAGGAACCTTCCCGGCTCTGGATCTGAACACGCCGTGGTGGCGCAGGACACGGCCGGTAGCCCTGGGTTCCTGTGTGTTTGTGTCTCTGCTTACGGATCTCATAAACAAGGGCTCCTCTCCTTCCTGTTCTCCTTTATTATATTTTTTGTGTGGGGGGGCACCATACTGGGCATAGGATTCTTAGGACTTTAAATGACACAGACAGCATCATTTACAGAAGTGCAGTAGATACTCTCTTTGCCATCTCCAGACTGTCAGAGGCCCGTGGGTTGTATTTAACCCTCAGATGTTTGGTTCACTGTGTCTGACCCTTCGTGCCCGAGACTGACCAGCGCCACCGTACTGCGCACTGTCGCTGCTTCCCTTGTTTCCTGCCTCATCCCGCCTCACATTGGAAGGTGCAGTGACCAGTCTGCCCCTGCCCCTCTCTTTTCGGATGAGCACCCTGAGGCCCGTTCCAGAAAAGTGCAGGCCCCCCATTCTCAGAACCTGGGCCGAGCAGAAATTAAAGCCGCTGTGTTCTGATGCGCTGTGCGGTGACCTTTCCTCCACCCTTGGGTCCCTGCCCAGGCAGAGGAGTTTTCCTAGGCATGAGGGGGTGGGGAAAAGAACCTCCAAATAGAACGTGGACACGAAAGTGGACTGGAGCAGCCCTGAGGCCCCCAAAGCCTCTTCAGGGTGGCACCTCCAGGGCTGATGACCCCACTCCTCCGGGGCTGGTTCTCCCTCCTGGGCAGCCCACTGAGCCCCTGGCCACTGATGGGCTTGCCCGGGGCCGCTCGGTTGCGGTGGAAGGACCTGGAAGCTTCAGCAGACTGGGGCTTTCCCAAGCCACCTTCCTCCAGATCCAGGAGGCCTCTGGGCTGGGTGCCAGGGAGAGCACACCGCTTCCAGCCGCCTCAGATCACCTGGCTGAGTGCAACTTGGGGACAGAACCCGCGGCTGGTTTCAGGTAAGCAAGTTGCTCCCTGCTCTACTGACTTGGAGAGGGAAGCTTGGTTCTGTCGGGAGGTCTGAGACCTCAACAGATCCTTTTATCTGGTGGGCTTGGGAGGGCAAAAGCTTTGGAGCCTAAGGGAGCTTCCCCCGTCTCCTTTCAGAGTGCTGCAGCAGTGTGTTGCTGATGATCTCTTGTCTCCCTTTCCAGGGCACTGAGAGTGTTTCAGAGCTCCAGAGTTGGGAGCCCTCACTTGGGTTCACACTCCCGAGCTCCCTCGGCAACAGTTGCCTGTCCGCCTTGCGCGTCCCGTGCTCTGCACTCAGAGCTGACGCTGACGCTTCCCAGGGAACCGGGGAGCTGGGGATTAGTCACTCTCGTGACCCGATGACCTAAGTGTGTCCTGAAGGACCAGAGCGGGGTGGAGTGTGAAGGGAGCTTAACCAAAAGCCAGGCTAGACTGGGGCACGTTTCTGAGGACGGGGCAGCCCCGCTGAGACCTGAGGGAGGACTTGAGACCACCAGGCTTACTGTGCAGGGTAGGGGAGAGTGGTTCAGGGCTGGGAGTTACGGAATAGTAGATGCAGAAGATTCCAGAAAGAGGGAGCGACATGTGCAGAGAGGCCTTCTGAGGTGGGGGAGAGACGTGGGTCACCGAAGGACTCCTGTGATGCCTTTGGAAAGGGGGTGGAGAGTGGCAGCTGGAAGTTACTAAGGAAGAAGAGTTTGGCTGCAGTAGAAAGCAGCAAAGCTGAGAATTGCCAAATGCAGATCTTCAACTCCCTCCTTTTATATTTTATTCATATCCTGTAGTCATGATTCATGCTCAGGCTTGACCTTAAAGCCTCAGCGATGACCTGATTCACACCCCGACCCCACTGACCTCACCTCTGCTGTTGACCACAGGTGCCCATACTTAGAGCCCTTCCCCACAGGCAGCGCCAACCCCCGCCCGGCCCAGACTCGCCAGTCTGTGAGTGAGGCCTTGCAGAGCCGCACAGGGTGCAGAGGCGTCCGGCACAGATGCTGCAGGGCCCTTCATCCCCAGCATCTTCCCCACTGCCACAGCCGCGCCGTGGGGACCACCCAGGCACGGCTTGAGGGGGAGCAAAAGCAGTATCAGAGCGCCAGGCGTGCTCCCATCTCCCCCCAGTTTAACCCGCTGTGTAGTCAGCAACACCCGCCACAGCCTCGGGTTCCCCCAGCCCGCAGTCTTGCTCATAATCAAGGGCGAGGGCAGAGGGAAACAGTCGGCAGACTGCAAAGCAGGCAGCAGTGCGCAGAGGGGCAGGAGCACAGACGCTGGAATCAGACCTGGGTTGGACCCAGCTCACTAGTCACGTGATTATGGACAGGCTTTCGAACCACATTGAGGATCAGTTTCTCCTGCAGAAACAGGAGTAATCCCCGGTTCGTCAGACTGGTGAGAACTGAAGAGCACAACTTGGTGTTCGCATTTTATTTCCTTCTCTTCCCTAGAGCAGCACGTGATGCTATTTCCAGGAGGCAGAAAAAGCAATGCTTTCATCTGGAGTCCTGAAGAATTGGTAGGGACCCTGAGAGGTAAAGACTTTATGTCTCTTCTCTCGGTTATGGTATCAGAGGAAATACAGACGTGCTTTCTTAGCTTCACCCATAGGAGATGCAGTCTGGTTTGAACACTGTTTGCACATCTTATTTTCAGGCTGAACTTGAAAACAACACAAAACAAAACTCCATTCTTGTATTAAAGAATTGTCTACTTAATACAGATTTAGGACACCAGTTCTGTATGTTACAGTAGAGAATAAGGTTGGTGGTTCATGGGGTCATACTTGAATGTCCTGACCGCTCATCTGTGATGGGGAAGGGGGAACCCTTGATCTTCTTCACTCGGGTTCATGGGCGAGTCAGCCTGGCCCAGATGAAGCCCACCTGTGAGTAGTGGTTGGAGCCTCCCAGGCAGAAAGGGTGCTTGTCTCCTGCTGCAGTGAGATAACATCAGAAAATGCTTTGCAGACTGTGAAATAGTGTACAAAACAGGGCAAAACTAATGTGAATGTTCACACAGTTCAATGATAACTTACACTATTTTATTTCATTATATATAATAATATGTAGGAACTGGTTATGGAATTGAATAAATTAGCCTAGAATTCATGACTTTTGTATTGCGATTGTCTGTGTAACTTATCAGCTTTGACTTTCATGTTCTTTGAGCATCACTTTGTAACTCTTCTCTGTGCCTTTCGAATGGACCGTTATGATGTGTCCCATCACAAGTATTACTGCAATAAGACAGCTTTTGCTCAGGCAAAGGCTGGGTCTTCCGATCACATCTGCCTCCTTTCTTCAGTGAGAATCCTCTTCTTCTGGAAGCTGGTTTCACATGGTGGCTTAGATTTTTCCATCTTTGTATCTAGCACCATTTGAAATCAGTGTTTTAGGAGTAAGAATTGCAGCACAGCCAAAGGCCAACCCCAGAGGAGCTGCTGCCCCGGGACCAGCTCCCCTCCTCCCGCCACTTGAGCTGGTTCGAGAAAAGAAGAACTTGAGAAGCAAATTCACTCTTGAGCGTATTGGGTTGTGGAAGGGGGACAGTTCAGGGGTGGGGCGGTGTTCAGTGGAAACTCTGAGGCAGCCACCAGCAGGAACCTGTTGGTGGGGCCTTTGAGCGTGTGATCAGGCAGCTCCAGGTTGGGTACCTGATCGCAGTCGGCAGCAGGAGGGCCGTGGACCGGAAGGACCCTCTCATCACACCAGCATTGCCCACCTGCTCCTACAGGCCGCGGGACAGCCAGCTGCAGTGGCCGAGTAGGTGGGATCAGATTTGCCACCTGCACCGTCACCGTGTGGACCCCACTGAGCGCCGCCGGACCCATCTCTTACACAGGCTGACCGATTTCTCCTGGTGTTCAGAGTCTGTTTTTGTCTAGCACCATTTGAAATCGGTTATGATGTAGGGGGAAAAGCAGCGGCCTCGAGGTCTCATGCCAAGTCTGGTCGGCAGCAGCCTGTGGCTTCCCGGAAGACGGATGGGCAGAGAGGGGGAGGGAGGTCACAGCTTTTCCTGCTGACGTCCTTAACTACATCTGCAACACTTTATGCACAGGTAATAGATCATTTAGCGGATTTTTAGAAACAAATCACTGTAGTGTACCTAATGTCCTCAGTTTGCTAAATGTGGTAGTGCTGTAAACTCCAAATTGGTTGCCATTATCTTTCTGTTCACGCATCCTGACCTTAATAAATGTTTTACTGTGTTCAATTTATCATGTGTTTGTTTTTCATCGATGATTTTCCATTCATAATTATATGATGATAAGTGGGGTCCTGAAAAATTAATTTGCTATATGCAAATATTACCTACTTCATAAAGAGTCAAAGTCGGTTACAGCAAACAGATATTAAAAATGTAGTCTGTTAAGACAAGAAAGAAATTCTATGAGCCAAGACATAAAATGAGAAAAAAGATGATAGAGAAGCGTTGCAGACCCGAGTTGAAGGGGAAACTGACCTCAGTCCCAAACAGGCTGCAGCCCCGGGGCCTCTGCCATCAGCGTTCGCGCAGAAACCTTCGCTCAACTGAGCCTGGACTCACGTGGCCCCTAGAGGGAGGTGCGCTGATGAATTCAGCTATGTTAGGAGAGATGCAGGCGTTGTCTACTTTGGTCCTTAGTTTCCATCAACCCTTGAAGACAGAGTGAACCAGTTCTGTAAAGGTGCTCAGAGATGAGCCAGATTTGACTTCACAGGGGGTTTCTCTTGGGGAGTCTTCAGGTTGGAGGGCTGTGTCCCCTTTTGACCTTTTTGAGCAGAAAGTGCAAGGCCAGCCCTGACCTTCCTGCAGGACTTTGATTTCACACCTGTTCTCCATACATGGTGGCACCTCAACCACCTGGGAAGCCTTTCGAGGTCCAGTTCCTGCCAGTCTCCCCCCAGCTGGCTGCCTTTCCCGTGGGGTGGGGTGAGGTGGGTGAAGCCTCTGTTGGGAAAACTTCCCTTGAAATGGGGGGCACCTCCCACTGTAGCTGCAGGGCTATTTGGGGCTGTTGACTGGAGGATTCAGGTTCTGGTTCCAAGGATGTGGCAGGAGCAGTTAATGACCCTGGATTGCTTTATTCACCTCTCTGCTGAGGTAGCTACAACAGACCTATGGGCTTAAAAGCTTTGGGTCAATTGTAACAAACTGGACAGCTTCTGATTCACCTACTGTGTCCCTGGCTTCAGGCTATGTATTGCCAATAAAGCAAGTAACCCATGGATTCTGCCAGCAGGTTGCTATGATTCCAGTCTCTAAATGAGAAAGTGCCAGAAGATCTAGGTTTAACATGAAAGCAGAAAAACAATGACTTGGGACATCTTTTCCGTGAAAGTAGTTTCTGGAGTTATCATGAATGCTTAATTTTAAACAAGTGCTCATGGCTGTGTCATGAGAAGCAAAACGAAAGCCCCTTGGTTGTAACTGAAGGGCCATTCGTGGAGGATTATTTTTCTTTATTCGTCTGAAGGTTGACAGCTTTTTAGCTGAAATTAGCATCCCAAGGTGGCTTGTGCTAATGAGATTGCTGAGCAGTGTGTATCTTGAAGACATCTTGAGTCTGCTTTTGTGACCCTGCTTTCCACTTGAAAATGCTTTGCCAGGCATGGGTCTACCTACGTTACCTCATGTTTATGGCCTTCTGGGTTGGCTCAGTCAGTAAAGAGTCTGCCTGCAATGCAGGAGACCTGGGCTTGATCCCTGGGTTGGGAAGATCCCCTGGAGAAGGAAAGGGGCAACCCACTTCAGTATTCTCGCCTGGGAAGTCACCTGGACAGAGGAGCCTGGTGGGATACAGTCCACAGGGTTGCAAAGAGTCAGTCACGACTTGCGACTACACCACCACGTGTTTATCGCGCTCTACGGGTTTTCTCGAACCAGCAAGTGAACAATCAGGGTGGGTAACTTCCTCAGTGTGATGCAGACTTGGATTGATTTGGTCACCTCCTGCTGGTGTGTATACCAGAGGGAAGGAAAATAGTTTATTGACCACAGACCCCTATATTATGCTTCCCCCTATATTATGCTTTCCCCATATGTAAGCCACAAGGGACTGAGATTAGCCATTTTTAAGGGTAATTCTTTAGAAGGTAAGTAGGAAAGAGCTAGTTAATTAAAATAGAATTGAAAATGACTTCTAGGTAACCCAGCAGTGACTAAAACCTCTAAATGAGTTTGAACCAAGCAAAGAACTTGTCAAATGCCCTCAGAGTCCACAGGAGGGCAGCAGTGTGGCGATTTTAAAGTCTGCCCACTACATCCCAAGGTAAGGTTTTCTAGATGAGCTTGGAAATGATGAAAGCAATGCCGATTGGGAAATACAAACAACATCCCCACCCCACCCCACAAATTTGTGTGAAGATCAAATGGTAATTCACTCCAGTATTCTTGCCTGGAACATTCCATGGAGAAAAGTCTAGTAGGGTATACAGTCCATGGACTCGCAGAGTCAGATAGGAGTGAACGACTAATACTTTTCAGTTTTGTATCATTTCTGGAAGATGAAGACTTCATTATCACCATAAAAGCTCTCCCAGTATATCTTACGACAGTTAAAAGAAAATACAGCAATTCCGTGGAGGACCACTGGTTAAAAATCTGCCCACCAGTGCAGGGTTTGATCCCTGGTCTGGTAAGAGTCCACACATCACAGGGCAACTCAGCTAATTCGCCGCAATTGCTATGACCATGTGATGAACTAATGATGCCCTTGCACTCTAGAGCACACGCCCTGCAACGAAAGAAGCCTGCACACCACAGCCAGAGAGTAGGCCCTGCTTTCTGCAACTAGAGAGCCCTGTGCAGCAAGACCCAGCCGGGCCCAAAACAGTAATACAGTAGTCTAAGGTTCGGTTCAGTTCAGGAGCTCAGTCGTGTCCGACTCTTTGTGACCCCATGGACCGCAGCACGCCAGGCATCCCTGTCCATCACCAACTCCTGGAGTTTACTCAAACTCATGTCCATTGAGTCGGTGATGCCATCCAGCCATCTCATCCTGCCATCCCCTTCTCCTCCCGCCTTCAATCTTCCCCAGCATCAGGGTCTTTTCCAATGAGTCAGCTCTTCGCATCAGGTGGCCAAAGTATTGGAGTTTCAGCTTCAACTCAGTCCTTCCAATGAACATTCAGGGCTGATTTCCTTTAGGATGGACTGGTTGGATCTCAGGTTACAGGTAAATAAAATTTGGCAAAATGTTTTCTTTCTTTGTAGCCAACCTAATTCTCAGTGTTGCCATTACAAAGATTGCTTCCTTTCTTTTTAACCAGGCAGCTTCCTTTGATTAGCTGGGTGACAAGATCTTAATTCAAGTCTTAGTCATCTTCTGACTTAACAGGCTGAATTACAAAAACACAATTTTCTCTTGCAAATATAAGCACTTACCTTTGTCGTTACAAGTTTGTATGTGCAAGTTCACATGCAGACGTGGACTCTGAGGCTGAAGAACCACTAACACAGAGGTTCTCCCTTAGCTGTATATTAGAATCACTTGAGAAGCTTTACAGATGTCTAATGCCCAGGCACACCCCAGATCAACAGTGACAGGTATCTGGGGGAGGGGGTGGGGGCGCCCAGGCATTAGTAAAAGTCCCCAGGGGATTCCAGAGTGCAGGCGTGGTTCAGAAACATGCTATGCTTTCATGGTTGGGACCTGGGTTTTTACTCAGCAACACCCATGCATAAAAGTGATGCGGAAGGTACGTCTTCTACCACACACATAGACGTATCTGTTCCCTCAAGGTCAGAAAATATGAAGGCTGAGAGCCAGGCAGGAATCGGGAAGGGCTGCACACGAAGGGCTCTGTGAACTGGGCCTGAGTGATGCCCAGGATCAGACAGGACCAGAGGCCTTCGGGCAACAGTGAACCTGGAATACAGCAGACAGCACAGGACGGACTGTCTGGCTGGGTCGAGAGCAGGTTATCTGAAGTGCTGCAGGTGGAGAAAAGCTGGGCATTAACTGTAGAAAGTTTTCAAGTATCACGAAATGGACTTTATGCTGTGGGTAACGAGGTGGGACTGAACACCGTGAGCGGGGGGAGCACGAGACAGGCTGGGAGGGGAGAAGCCTGGACAGACTTCAGGCTCTGAGATTAGAGGTTAGAAGGGGTGACTGTGGGGAGGGGAATGCTTCCAGAAGGTGGACCCAATTAGAGGCGCACTCTCATTTGAGATAAAACACACTGGAAATAAATGCATCATCACAAATGAAACTTCTCCATAATGACATTTTATTTTAAAAATAGATTCAAAGGTTCACTTCTCAGAAAACAAACAATACAGACATGAGACGTCTCATTCCACTGGAGATTCACTCTTGCAGTTTTAAGTTTAAATTCAAATACACTTTTCCCTCTCATTCAGACAGACATTTCTAGAGAAAAAATGGTTTCTCCATATATTTAAGTAATTGACAAGTTATTTGCAGACAGAACATAATTTATATGTACACACATATTTCAATCTTACATATAACTATGTTACCCTGGAAAAACTAAATTTGAAGTGGAAACTATTGTGAAAGTCTATTTTGGTAAGCACAATAAACTTTGGTTGAAAACATTTCCTTGAGGTTTTAAGAAATATGTACTACAACCACCCCCTTGCTTCTGAGAAAGTGTTAGATTCTTGAAGAGTATGTGATAAAAGGGTACAGCAAAACTTCAACTCTGGATTTGTCTCAGAATTCCTGAATTTATTCTGTTCAAAGTTATCTTCCAAGTGTCTTACCCAAGATTACAAAGGGAAGGACCACTTAGAGAGGGCCTTACAAACGTGTCCTTAGGGAGAAAACCAGTGTTGACTCCTGCTCACCCTTGAGTCCTGATTCACACCTTTATAAGGCAGCTCTTCTTTGGTTCAGTTTGTGCTACTAACCACGAAGTGTGAGGACCTTCCTGATGGCCCAGTGGTTGGGTTTCCGTGCTTCCACCACAGGGGTCACAGGTCTGATCTCAGCTTGGATAGCTCTGCATGTCAAGGTATGGCCAAAAAATTAAAAAAGAAAAAATAATTTTTTTCAAGGTGTTAAAAAAACCTGTAAAAATGTGAGTTAGAGCAGAGTCCCTCCTCTGTGGCCGCTGGTGTGAGGACAAAGAGGGCTGGGCTCTGTCCAACCTGCATGAGCAGACCCACCTGAGCTGGCCCGTCTCTCCTTCCCTCTGCATGACCACAGCTAATCCAGAGCTGAGTTTCCTTTTCTGAAATACAGGGTTCATTTTTACTCTGCCCTTTACAGATGAGGTGAGGAGCCCACAAAGCTTCGGATTCTGATGCAACCTGAGGTTATCTGATGAGCTTATCCCCTTCAAAACTGCTTACATCCTGATGACATGTGTGAAGTAAGACATATCTTTATCCCAGTGGTGAGAGAAAATGCCCTAGAGCCAGACTTTAGAGTGGGCTCTGATTCTCTTAGAGAGTAGAATTCTTCAGCAGAAACAGACACAACATTGTAAAAAAACAACTATAGTACAATAATAATAATAAAGTGGAATTCTTCTTAAGGAAACTATAAGGCCACAGCGTTCCCTTTGTCCTGAGCTGGCGTTGTTGCCATGGGTGCTAAGAGTACTCTAACTTGGTACAGAAGGCTGAAACTGATGCTGAATTCTTGGTTTCTCAGACTGGCTTATTATAAATAAAAGGGGTGAAGAACAAATGCCAGACAAAAACTTAATAGCATCGCCAACTTACCACAAGGTTACAAATTTTTAAAAATAGCATTTTAATCTATCAAATGTAAGAGTATTTTCCAGTAAGATCCTTAGTTAAGAAACACAAAGAATGAACCTTAAGAATTGGTAATCACCTCTGAACAAAAAAAGATTTCAAAATCACTTTCTTTGCAAATGTAATGTCATTTTGCAATATATTTCTCTGAGTTTGGAGATCTTATAGAAAAAAAAAAAAAATTTCCCTACCTTAACACTACCGGGAATACCATGTTGACCTGCCGCATAAATCAAGTGTTATTTAAGGAAAAACAGACAAGATGTTCAAAACTAAATTCATACATGTTTCAAAGAAGCATTAAAGAATAGTGACTTTACTTCAGTCACATTAAAATGTTCTAATGTTCCTATGGCTATCACTTAGCAGTTTTATTTCTGACAGTTTAAAAAAGCAGCAAATAATTTTTATACTTTTTTTCCTTCAGTATTGAGACAAAATTGAGCGAGAGCATTGCGTAAGTTTAAGGTGTACGGCATGATTCGATAACGTCAATAACTACAAAAAACTTTTTTCCTCCATGTGATTAGAACTTTTTAAGATCCACTCTCTTAGCATCTTGCCAATATAAATACAGTATGAGTAACTCACAGTAGCCACTGTGCTGTAATTATATCCCACTACTTTCTCACCCTATAACTGAAGGTTTGTATTTTCTGACCACCTTTACTCAATCCCCCCCCCCGCCCGCCACCGCTGACATCGACAAATCTCATTTTCTTTTCCTGAAAGCTTGTTTTTTTCAATTCCACATATTAGTGAGATCAGACAGTACACATGACTTATTACCCAGCAAAATGCCTTGAAGGTTCATCTGTATTGTCACAAATGGCAAGATTTCCTTCATTTTCATGGCTGAATGATACATGCGTTTCTGGGAACGGTTCAGTTCATCTAGTCTGCTGGAGTGGCTGCTTTACCCTGGTAAGCGCTGTATGTGGCGCTACATTCTGCTTTCCTATAAGGGAACAGAACAGTACGTACCGTGACATTGTGGTTTCCTACGAAGCAAGGTAAGAAAACAGCATCAGAGATGAACACAGTAAGTACATAGATTGATTCCAGAAGCCCATTTAGAATAGGGACAATTAAAGGAAAAAGCCAAAAAACAAAACACTATATACTAGTAAGAGTCAATGAACTAGGAAATAAATGATTTTTAAAGTTATTCCAATGTTCAACCAGGCTCACTCTACAAACTCTATTTCTGTATTGTAGTTTGGATTTCCTCCAAGACAAGAAATAGAGCAGTCGAATATACTTAGTAAATATCCCCCTATCTTAATTTAGGGCCAATGGGAGAGACTAGAGAGAAACACATTTTCCTAATATTCCAATTTAAAATCCAGCCCTGAGCCCATTATACAGAGTGAAGTAAGCCAGAAAGAAAAACACCAATACAGTATGCTAACGCATATCTATGGAATTTAGAAAGATTATAATGATAACCCTATATGCAAGACAGAAAAAGAGGCACAGATGTATAGAACAGACTTTTGGACTCTATGGGAGAAGGCAAGGGTGGGATGATCTGAGAGAACAGCATCGAAACATGTATATTATCAAGTGTGAAACAGATCGCCAGTCCAGGCTGGATGCATGAGACAAGTGCTCGGGGCTGGTGCACTGGGATGACCCAGAGGGATGGGATGGGGAAGGAGGTGGGAGGGGGGTCGAGGATGGGGAACACATGTAAATCCATGGCTGATTCATGTCAATGTATGGCAAAACCCACTACAATATTGTAAAGTAATTAGCCTCCAACTAATAAAAATAATTGGGAAAAAACAATAAAAGAAAGTCTTTCTGCATGATGTGACATTGAAGGTTCAGAGTAGGTCTCTAAGGATAAATGGGCAATTTAATAGTGTGATTCTGGAAACTTAGGCAAAAGGAGTGGAGAAAGGGATGAGGAATGAGGCTAAAAACCAAGTAAAGGGCCAGGTTTTGAAAGGCCTTAGGTGGCACATGTATTAATTAAAATTATGTTCTGCTCTAAAGATCTGAAAATCATACTCTAGCAGCTTAAGGAACTATGGAGTTAGTCTTTCTCACATACCTGACAATCTGGGGTATCTATTTGATAAATACTTATATGATGCCTGTTTTCTAAGCCTTTTACAAATAATAACTCATCAGATGCTTATAACGGTCCTTTGTAGTGTGTATTATTTTTATCCTTATTGTACAGATGGAGAAACTAAGGCATGGAATAGTTAAGGAACTTAATAGTGCACAAGTAAGTAATAAAGTCATGTTTGAGTCCAAAAAAAAACAAAACAAAATAAAATCCAGCCCTGAGATGAAACTTTTACAAAGGTAATGATTCAGAGTGTTCACGTTCAGTAATGCTTCATTTACGCCTCACTGTCAAGGAAATCACATGTTCTGGTTAGAGAGTCTCCTAAGTAACTAAAACTCACACCACACAGTTTTTGGTTTTTTTCTTTTTTTTTTTTGATAACAAGGAACATCTTTCTAAACCCTGTTATTCAAATCCAGCGGTTTCCAAAGAAATATAATGCAAATCACACAGGGAATTTTGAATTTTCTAGAAGTCACATTAAAAAAGGGAAAAGAAGATTAATTTTCATATAGGTCACATAACCCAGTATCCATGGGTTGTACCTTTTTCCCCATGAAGTCTTTTGACTCTGTGTGTACTGTGCACTGAAGCTCAGTTACGGAGGATGAGCCGGCTTTGACATTCGCAGCGGCCGCTCAGGACACTGACTCTGGAGCTGGAAAGCGCAGCTCCACTCCTGCTCGGGAAACTGACTGCAAGAGACAGGCTACAGCCAAACGCGGGCCCGTCGGCCATTTACAGCGGGCCTGCCCAGCAAACCCTCGGGGTGCCCCCCTCATGGGAGAGCTAACCGTGTTAATGCTGGAGACTGTATTATTCCCCTGGTGGGAGAGGCTTCACTGTGAACCAGCGCTGTCATAGCACGGAACTTGTTAACGGCCGTGTCCTCAGGACTATTGTGGACAGCGAGTCAACAGTTAGGCTCTCAAGGAACCCTCCAACGCCGCTGTATTCTTCTATTTGCTGAAGGGAAAACACTCTTTTCCCCTCTAGTAGAACACTTATTTTCTTAAGTAGAATCTTAAACAGAAATCCAATATATGAGAAGGATAAATAAGCATTTATATAAAGTTAAAGAAACAGCTCATTGGATATAACAAGCTATTTAAAGATAATTAAAATGTGAAAGTGAGTTACTAATTACAGTTATATTACCTTCAGCATTCACTAAGGTAACTTTAGTGTTTACAGACAATTTGAAGCTCACAGCCTGTCTGAAAACCACCTTCCTGGTTGGTTGTAGCCTCAAAGGACTACTCAGAGAACTCAGCAGATACATAGGGCAGGATAGTTGGTATGTTTTTGTCTTCCCCTCTGCCCCTGTGATCAAAGACATCGCTCTGCTTTTACTAAGAAACCGCCCGTCTTACTGGTCTTTGTGGAATCTGCTCTCAAGTTCATGACTGTCACCTAAGGTAGCGCCTTGCACGTGAGTGTGGAGATCTATCTCCTCTCTTCCTAACTATTCAGAGACATTCAGGCAGAAAAAGAACTTCCAATTCATTTCATTCAGAGACAGAGATGGAGGGGATTAAATGGCTAAAGGGAATGCATTTCATATAAAATTTGAGGATTTTTGTTGGTGCTGGTTTATTTACTTTTTTATATGCTAAAAATATACTGACTGAGGGAAACAGTTACATGCCTTTACAGAACTAATATTTACAAGCTGAAACTGAAATTCTGTAGCAAAATTACATAAAATGTAGTTTAGTTTCTGTCAAAAAAAACTAAAAGTGAACTTTAAGTGGACCGACTATCTGATTATTTCCCATTAGACCAAAAAAGTTCCCCCAGATTTGGATTCACAGCTGCTAGAAGGTAGAGCTGAGCTGTTTCTTTAGGTTTATATAAATGCTTGTTTATCCTTCTCATATATTGCACTTCTATTTAAAATTCTATTTAAGAAAGTAAGTGTTCCACTACTGCTAGAAAAAAAAAAGGCTATTTATTCACTTCAAATGAATATAGTGATCTTTGAGGATTCATTGATAGGCCTAAGTATTGAACTGCTCTCCACAATAGTCCTGAAGAAACGGCTATATCAAATACTCGTCACAATCTGACCTAAGGTCAAGGGGTCATTACTCTGTTGGTGCCTATGTCAAAGAAAAAGACTGTCAGTGCATATTATTTCACATTAAAACAGGGAAGGAGAAAATATAAGTATCAATAATCTTACAAAGGGGAACCAGAATTCAAATGTCCTCCTTCATGTCTACTGTCCACTTAGCTCAGCTCAGGATATCGATATCTAAATGTTCATCAAATATTTTATAGAAGAAAGGACATCTCTGAAAAGAAATGCAACAGAAAGCAGATACCTTTCAATGATAAAAGCAAACGTTTCTCTCATCTCTTCTCAGAGAGAAATAAAATTTATTGTCTGTGACTCTCACCAGTTAGGTATGTGCTGAACAGAGGAAGGGAAAAGTGTTGACTAAAATAGTGAGGTTGCACCAAAAGGAAGCAAGAGTGGCGTAAAAACGGGGTAAAATCAATGAGGGAGGAGAAGGGAAGTAAAGCTGACAATTAGGTCCATAGACTATGTCTCTCCTGATTCTCATTAGGAAGTTGAACCAAGAATTTGGTGCAAGAAGCAACTTTACCCTTGAAGTCTTATAGATCATACAGCAGGTAAACAGACTCTAAATTTGCATATAATCTGTTTACTTCTGAAACCACCTAGTCTCAAGTAAACTCGTTTTCTCAGAATGAGAGTGTGCGAGACACGGCCCTGGTCTGCAGCACCGTAGCTTCTGAGGCAACGCACGGGGCCTGTGTCAATCCCAGGTGACACTGTCCCAGAAACTGATTTCGTGACATCCTCCACTAGACACACCTTTTGCATCAAGGATAGTTTCTTCCTGTGGCACAGCTGTTTTCACCTGAGGAAAGACCTCTCTAAAGCATTGTATGACCTCCCATTTTTCTAGGATGGATCTAGATTTTGTGAATATGCTCTCTCAACTAATTACAAAATCTTTGTTATTTACTAGTTCTTGCTTAAAAATTTTAAAGCCTTTGTTGAATGGTTAAGAATTTGAGAACCAGGTAGAAAAATGTTCAAGTTAATTTGACCATTCAAGTTTTGGACCATGTCGTTACACTCACCACAACCTGAACTGGATTTACCATTTACAGTATATCCAAAAAAGCTTCAGTAAGATGCATTTAAGCAGACAACTTAAAAATTACAACATTTCTCAATCAATCTTTATTGAGATAATATTAAAGTAGTTTACAATTGCACACGTAATAAATATCCTTAATGGAAAAAAAGAAAAAAGGTATTTAGTTACTATTACTAAAACACATAAATTACTTCAATAATTCTACTAAACTTAGCAAACTCTCACTTATCCCCTGATGATTTAACTCGAGCAGAGAAAAATGATACATTTATTAAAAAAAAAAATTTCACCACAAATAATTGAAAACATTCATGTAAACAAAAGACATCTGGTGTTTGGAACCACATAGTCAGGACATGCAAACAGGACTCGAGCAGGAGCAAAGCAGAGAGAGAAGAGATGTGGCTCCAAGTCTGGAAAATGTGGCAGAAGAGCTGGTTAGCAAAGGAAGCTGTGCGGGAAAGGGAAGGGGTGTGCAGATGGAGCCTCACAGCTCACCTGCGACCCTATTCTGCTCTCAGTTGAGAGCTAAGAAACAGAAAACTACAGCAGAATGCTTTAACCTTGTGGCCATTTTTCATAATTTAATGATCTTAAAAAAAATACACACACACTACTTAGGGGATTTCCCCGGTGGTTAAGGCCCTGCTCTTTCAATGCATGGAGCTTGAGTCTGATCCTTGGTCGAGGAACTAAGATCCCCCCGGCAAACAAACTACTTATTTTCATGCTTTGGTATAAATCCTGTAGGAAGGTAATTGTGTTCCCAAATTATCGAAAATACGAGGTCATATCAAATCCATTTTGTATCAAGTTTTAACAGCAAATGTGTGTTTTTGATTTGTTTTGAGGCTTGTAGGATCTTAGCTCCCCAGCCAGGGACTGCACTCCTGCCCAAGGTAGTGAAAGCGTGAGTTCTAACCACTGGACTACCAGGCAATTCCCATTAATAGCAATTTTTGCACCTGGTATCCTGCTTCCAGAGTTATCCCTACAAATAGAGAAGGAACTGCATATAGTTTACAGTCTTGTAAGGGAATTTCCAAAGCAATGAAAGCAATTTGGGGGGGTAGGGGGGAGAAGGGACATTAAATAGTGCAAAAAATATATCAATAATAAAAATAATTACCTTTTTAAAAGAAAAGCAAACTAAAGCTAGGTATCATTTTGCATTCTTTTAAAAAGGCATGCACAAAAATGAGGAGTCTTTAAACAATCCATTTGATTGTCTTGAACAGGTGAACCATTTCCCAGTAAGCTTGATGGTGCTTCCTCAAAGCTGAAGAGCACGGGCACATCAGTAACAGTCTACACCCTGCTTTCTCTAAGTGTCCTCCAGGCCCGGCAGCAGCCTCACTGGGGAACTCTTTAGAAATGGGATCTCAGAACTCTAATGCTACTGGTACTTTAAGCTGGGGATGTGATGCTCAGATACTGGTTTAGCTTTAAAAGACTCATTCACTGGTAGACAAGAGTTTGGTTAATATTTGTTAGGAAACTGTATTTTTGTGTAACGATATTTTACAAAAAGACCAATAAGGAGCAGAAAGCTATTTTGTTCTGCTTTCTTTAGAGGTTACTTCTAGTTAACAAATTTTAGACTTGTCAAATATTTCACTGATGGTGTTTCCGTGTTACACGGCCTGTGAATATGTAGTTTTAAAAATACACTATTGATAGAGAAATCAAACGTGCATATTATATGTTCTATAAGAGTCAAGGTTCAAATGAAGGCAATGTGGATATTTTTAAAAGATGACCAAGAAATTAAAAAAAAAAATTTCGCTCTTTATGAGTGAAGAATGTACTTTTATTACACAGTCCAAATGCAGTGATTAAAATAAAAGGAATATAAATATCATAAACCCATTAATACCAGTCATTTTTAATTATTAGTCTGATTTACAAAGCAATAGCGAAAAAAATCACTAAAAATCAGAAATATCAAAGCACCTAATCTTGGTCTATGCGCCAGTTTTATTCTAAGTCTTTCATTAGATTTTAAATTACTTCATTAAAATTTAAGATGTTTAAAAGCTCTATTCTCTTTAGAAATTATATATTTGTACTTTTTTGCAATTTTAACTCTCTCCCTTATTTCATTTTTATAGATAAAAAGACAAAGTTCATGAAGTTCCTTATAAATCTTACCCTCTCAGCAACTTTTAGTTTAACCCCATCAGTTTTACTTCGACCTAGTAAATTAAGAGAACATAAGAGGGAAATCAAATAATGTTGCTTTAAATTTTCCAGTTTAACTGTATAACAAATCTAAAAGAAAAAAAAAACAAATTTGGTATCTGAAGGAGACATCTATGTAGCTTCTTACAACTACCTACCTAAATTATACAGACAACTGAAAACTTTCACCGTCAAAATTGCAGTGACTACAGCTATCAGAGTCTCCACAGGGAATCATTTTATATGTAATCTTGGCCATTAGTACAATCTAGGAAGTTGGGTATGCCTAGGGTAGAGAAGACCCCAAAGCAGTCCATGATTTATTTCAGCACTTACACCTCAAATCCCACAGAAATTTCTCTTACATCGTAATTAGTTGATGCGACCTGCTCAGATTACTCTTATAGCAGTGATATTCAAAGCAGCTGAAGACATTTTAGCAAAGAAATGTTAATTCACACAGCACACTCAAGCAGGCGCAATTTTTAAAAAGCACGTAATACAGCGTACAAACAAAAATGCACAAAAGAATGTCACCAGTGAGAAGGAGCAATAAATTAAAAAAACATGCTGTACTTTACCCTTTCTTCCTTTGTTGGCAAAGACAGTAGTACAGGCAAAACAATAATCCAATGCCAAGAGCAACTGCAAGAAATCAAGAGACAAACGTCACATGACCAAGAAAAATCACTGCCAAGATTCAAAACCTAGCAGAAAAAAATGAATGCCGATCAGAGGTTCCCTGGAGGCTCAGATGGTAAAGAATTCACCTGCAGTGCAGGAGACTTGGGCTCCATCCCTGGGTTGGGAAGATCCCCTGGAGAAGGGAATGGCAGCCCACTCCAGTGTTCTTGCCTGGAGAATCCCACCAACAGTGGAGCTTGGGGGGGCTGCAAAGCGTCAGACACGACTGAGTGACTAACACTTTCATTTTCACGCTTTCAGATACCCATGGCCAGAAAATGGCATCTAATTTAAGCACATATACGTTTCTATTCCATTTGGACTCTTCAGTGTCTTGTATCCTTTGAATTAAACAGTATACAGTAAATCAGAGAAATTCCTGATTAGTTTAGAAAGTTACCCAAAGCATATTTGGGATGAAAACTCATATGATGAAAACTCACCTTTGAAACAACATATATTATTTAGAGTTTGTTAGTACGTGGACAAGCAGAATAAAAAGGAATACAGTAATACTAATACAAGGTAGTGTATTACATAAAAAGTCAGGTTTTCCTGTTTTACTTAATTTCAAGCTATAAAGCTATAAATATTGAAAAACCTTAAAAAAAAAAACCACACTTCTTGAGAGCAATGTCTTGATTTCACTGGTATCAAACTTTTTGACACTTACCTGCAGCAACAATGAGCACGATGTATCCTGCACCTAAGAAAAATGAAAACAGTTTGGGAGATAAGTATCTGGGATCTCCTAGGAGCAGCTGCATTTTAATTTCATCAGATCATCTGTAACTACAGAGAAAAAAACTATCAATCTAGTTTTAGCAAAACTGCTCGTGCTTCCAGGTCATTTGAATCATAGAACCCTTCTAATCAGATTCCACAGTTAGGACACACCTTTGTGACCCTCTTAATAAGGAATCTCACTTTTCACTGCTGTTTGCTCTGGCTACCATGTCAGGTTATTTAGTGAAGGTTAACCTCTAACTAGTTTAGAGGAAAACCATTTTTAAAATGTGAGTATCCAACTACAGTTGGTTTAGTTTGACATTCAGTTCTTTCATCACTTATGACTTTGTTAGACATTTAACGTCTATTTTTCCCTGAAGTCTGTGGAATAAATCATAAAGAGTGCTCTGAACCCATGAAGAGTCTTCACAAACAAGACTTCATTGTATCGCCACAGCTGCGACCCCACTTTCTCCCCAGATGAAGACGTGGCCCTAACTCCCCAGGGAGACTCACTGAAAGTAACGCAAATGAAGAATATAAAGGGAACACCCGGGCACGTGGATAACACTATGCACAGAAGCACAAGCGCACATTTCTGATCATCCAGAGGGCTCTGGATGCACTACCACATCTCCATTCTGGGAAATGCTGGCCAGTAGTATCTCTGCCTCTAGACTGCCACTACTTTTATTACCTACAACACATAGCGGGTAACACAGAATGCAATGTCATGTACAGCTTTGTTTTTTTATTTCATAAATATCATCGAATGTAAACATCCTGAGATGGCACTGGATTCGCTTGGCATAACGCCAGTCTGACCACAGTTTTCACAGGGAAAATATAATAAGCCTAAAGTGCATTTTATAAAAAGACTAACTAAACTAGTCTAGTGTAAAGAAAAGTAAGCCATTTTTCTTCACTTCCTTATCAGTACATCTTTATATTTAACTGTCACCAACTGTACTTCCATCAAGTTTTTTAACACATACTGTGTGAACTGTGTGTGCCAACATTAGTGTGCCACCCCACCCTTGTATAGAAAAACTAACCCAACTGATAGTACTTTAAGGCTTGTGTTTACAAGGTGCCAACAGAAAGAAAATTCATCTACAAATAGCCATTGCAAAGTAAAACTATTACCTGGAAAATAACTTAAATTTTATATATGTTAGACTACATATAGCCATATTATTAATATTTTAAAAAGCAAACTTATTATTAGGTATCCTAAGCTGAGCAGCCTCCTAAAATCTATATTATCTACATGTGTCTAAAAGTACCACTTAAATGTGTCATGGGAGCTGCACCTTTAAAATTCCTTAAAACGTGCAATTTTACAACTACAAATTGAACAATTATCACCAATTTTTAACATGTTATTTCTTCTCTAATTATAGATAATGGTAATATTTCCACATAGAAAACTAGGGCCTTATGATACAAGGTTATATCAGTAACAAAATAATACCTAAACCCTGGGCATCGTTAGGGGGTGATGCATCAGTAGGACTGGGATATCCTGGAAAAAAGGAAAAAATGCAAGTTAAAAAAAAAAAAGGAGACAAAACAATACAGCTTAAAGTCCTCTAAGTTCACAGGTTTTGATTTTTTTCACTTTGTATAAAAACTCTTATAATTTCATTCTCCTTATATAAACTACATTAATCTTTGTCATTAAAAGTAGTATCAAAATCTTATAAATTTATATTCAATACCAAAGCATTCTACTTCTTGTCCAGTAACATTTCCTAGGACAATATTCTATGGTACAGCAAGCAAATTTATCATTAGTGTGGTGTCAGAATAACCCTATGGATTTGATGTGATTATACTTAAGACTAAAATAGAAAAGCACACTTGTGGAGCCTAAACAATATTCTACTAAACAAGCAATGCATCACTGATATAATCAAAGAAGAAATTTTTTTAAATATGTGGAGAAAATGAAAGCAAGAAAACAAATCCAAAATCTATGGGATGCAGCAAAAAGCAGTTCTAAGAGGGAAGTTTACAGCAACATAAGCCCACATCAGGAAAGAAGAAAAATCTCAAATAACCTAACCTTCCACCAAACCAATCAGAAAAAGCAGCATCAAAAAAGGGCAAAGTTAGTAGAAGGAAAGAAATCATGAAGATCAGAGAAGAAAGAAATGAAATAGGAATTTTTAAAAAATAAAAAAAGATCAATGAAAGTAACAGCTGGTCTTCTAAAAAGATGAATAAAATTGATATATCTTTAGCCACACTCATCAAGAAAAAAGTTGGCCCAAATTAACAAAATCAGAATGAGAAAAGGTACAACCCACAAACACTGAAGAAACTTCAGAAGCTACATAGAACAATTTAAAGAAGGACATGAATAACTAAGTGTAGATGAAAAAAAAGCTCAGCCACTGAACCTGGATGTCCTGAAGTCATGGTTGGAGAAGTGGGCTTGGAATCTGGAATGGAAAATTAGATTCAATTCTCTAGCCTTATCCATATAAAATTATGGATTTAAATTTGATATTTGATTTTTTAAAAAGACTCTCAAAATGAAAAATACACATACTCCCTAAATTTTGCAATTCTACTTCTGTAAAGTTAACCTAAACACATATTTACCCAAGTACAAAGAATGTATGCACAGGAATGTTCACTGTGCCTTTGTATATAGTGGAAATCCTATATTATATAGTGGAAATCCTAGAGGTTAACTAATAATAAACCATAAAAATAATGTGCTCAGAATAAACACATGGTTCTTTAAAAAAATATCATTCAGATAGTTTCCTATTGTGTAAGTTGTATCCTTCTCCAGTTAGTATTTTGCCTACAGTTTTTCATATGTGCATAATCAAATCTACTTGATCACCATTATATGTTGCTAATGATCTTTTTCATACTCTCTGATGACAGAAAATGATTGGTAGTCTCATGAGGAATTTTGATATTTTAAAATAATCCCCATAGTTTTATCTTCATTGTGCATCTGTCCTCAGAATTCTTATTTCAGACACTAAACTTTATCAGTGCTTTATAAATCCTTTATGAAACGCTTATGTCAACTCTTTAAAAGTCTGCCCAGACTGATACTCTTCCCACCCTTCCTCTGGTCTCTTGCTTCTGCTGCAACTAAATACAAGCCAGAGACAGCAGCCTTGAACTTAGGAAAACAATTCCTTCCAACATAGCAAAATACTCATTCAAGTCTTAGGCAGAGGAGCTGATCAGGAGTCCCTGCTAGAATTCCTCCATTTCATTCCAATAAGCAAGGGCTTTTTCTGCCTTTTAGTTGTTATACCACTTACTTTCTGTTGCCAACTCCCCCTGCCCCCTCAAAAAAACAAAAACAAAACTCCAAAACAAACAGACAAAGCCCAGTAAAGAGAAAAACAATAATTGTTACGAGTGGGGAAGTGACGGAGGTGGTAGAAATACTAGTCTCATTCTAGAGACAACAGAAATCTCCCAGTTTATAAAAAAGAACCAAGCTGGTCAGCCTGGGAAATGAAACAGTCCTGGACCCAGAAGACACCCTGTACAGTGTCAAGAGATCACTTTTTTTTTTTAAGAGATCACTTTTAAAATGAATAAATTATCCAGGTTGATGACACAGAAAACATACATGCTAAAAAACAAAACTGCGGACCTTCCTCTACACTAATATTAATCTGAGTGTAATTGGAACAAGCTACCTTTTAAGAGCTTTCTAGATACCAGGGGCTATGCTAAGTGCTTTAAATGAATCCCATTTTAAATTTACTATCACTAAGTAAGGAAGCCAAAGAATTAAGGCTTTTGAACTGTGGTGTTGGAGAAGACTCTTGAGAGTCCCTTGGACTGCAAGGGGATCCAACCAGTCCATCCTAAAAGAAATCAGTCCTGAATATTCATTGGAAGGACTGATACTGAAGCTGTAACGCCAATACTCTGGCAACCTGATGCAAAGAACTGACTCACTGGAAAAGACCCTGATTCTGGGAAAGATTGAAGGCAGGAAGAGAAGGGGATGACAGAGGATGAGGTGGTTGGATGGCATCACCGACTCGATGGACATGAGTTTGAGTAAACTCCAGGAGCTGGTGATGGACAGGGATGCCTGGTGTGCTGCAGTCCATGGGGTCGCAGAGAGTCGGACACGACTGAGCAACTGAACTGAACTGAACTGAAGTAAGGACGCTTTGAAATCATTTTACAGATAACTAAACGCTGAGCTGGAAGAAGTACAAGCTGGAATCAAGATTGCTGGGAGAAATATCAATAATCTCAGATATGCAGATGACACCACACTTATGGCAGAAAGTGAAGAGGAACTAAAAAGCCTCTTCACGAAAGTGAAAGAGGAGAGTGAAAAAGTTGGCTTAAAGCTCAACATTCAGAAAAAACTAAGATCATGGCATCTGGTCCCATCACTTCATGGGAAATAGATGGAGAAACAGTGGGAACAGTGTCAGACTTTATTTTTTTGGGTTCCAAAATCACTGCAGATGGTGACTGCAGCCATGAAATTAAAAGACGCTTACTCCTTGGAAGGAAAGTTATGACCAACCTAGATAGCATATTAAAAAGCAGAGGCATTACTTTGCCAACAAAGGTCCGTCTGGTCAAGGCTATGGTTTTTCAAGTGGTCATGTATGGATGTGAGAGTTGGACGGTGAAGAAAGCTGAGCACCAAAAAATTTGATACTTTTGAGCTGTGGTGTTGGAAAAGACTCTTGAGAGTCCCTTGGACTGCAAGGAGATCCAACCAGCCCCTCCTAAAGGAAATCAGTCCTGGGTGTTCATTGGAAGGACTGATGCTGAAGCTGAAACTCCAGTACTTTGGCCACCTCATGCAAAGAGTTGACTCATTGGAAAAGACCCTGATGCTGGGAAGGATTGGGGGCAGGAGGAGAAGGGGACGACAGAGGATGAGATGGCTGGACGGCATCACCAATTCGATGGACATGAGTTTGAGTAAACTCCGGGAGTTGGTGATGGACAAGGAGGCCTGAAGTGCTGCAATTCATGGGTTCGCAAAGAGTTGGACACGACTGAGTGACTGAACTGAAACTGAAACATATTTAAAGCTTTTACTTAACTTGCTATCTGCTTATATCTGCAGACTGCAAATAATTTTGGAATCACTCAATCTAAGAACTAAAAAGGCTGTTAATATTTCATTATTAAAATTGGTAAATGAATATAAATCATTGGAATTTAAAAGATTTTGAAAAAAAAAAATCACAAGAAATGTAAAGGATTTTGAAATATATAAGCAGGAAGTTACTAAACCTGAGACACTGGGAATTGGATGTTGGGTGCTGGGAGGAGTCGACACTGGAAAACAAAATAAAAAAAAAATGCAGAGAGGATCAAACATTTGGGAGTTACTACTGGCATTTTCACCAGGAATTTAAAAGATTTTTGAAAAAATATATGTAGGAAGTTACTAAACCTGAGACACTGGGAACTGGAGGTTGGGTACTGGGAATTGGAGGGTGGGTGCTGGGAGTAGTCAACACTAGAAAACAAAATAATGTAGACTGAATCAAAAACTTGGGCATTAGTACTGTCTTTTCATTCACATGAATTATGCCTTTCATTCTTGACTTATTTAGGTAAAACTCCCTAGGCTTCAATTTACTCTGAAAGATGACTGCTATCCATTTTTACATTTAAGAATGCCTAGCAAGAGAAATTTATACACCTGTGTTATGTACATGAAATGCTAAGACCCTACAAAGACAGAAAATTGCTGTAGCAGATTTCTTGTGAATTTGAAGTCATACAACTATAGAAATGAATACAACATAGTTAAATATGAAAACTATTTCTCTTCAATTATTCTTGCATCACTGATATTTAATGTAAAATAAATAAAGAACAAAAACAAAAGGAAGACAGTATTTTTACCTTTAATACACTTTGGTAGCTCAGGCTCCCAAGTACTGTTCACACCACAGACAACTGTACTGTCGCCATGAAGGTTAAAACCCTCATTGCATTTAAATACAACCGTCGCTTTGTAGTAATATTTTGGTCCAAATCCTGAGAGTATCATTCCATGTTCAACGATTGGATATACACATCTGACCACTGAAAAGTCGAGAAATTCCAGAATTAATGGAAAGCCGCTTCCACATGGGACCAGAAAAACTAGTGCAAAGTAATTCCAGAGGGAAGAAACAGGAAAGAAATGAAAAGATACTAATTGGGGTAAAAAAAAAAAGAAAAAAGAAACCTTTGTGCATCTGAATTCCAAGAGATCTGGAGAAATCTAGCAATTTTTTTTTTTTTTAACCTAGAACAGACTGTCATAGTTCATTTGCTTTTCTACATTTTCTTTCCATTACTGACAAGTTTTGAGAACTGTCTGGCTACCAGATACAAACTCAGGGTAAGGTCAAAAGTAATTTTCTTCCGTTCGGGGATTGTTTTAAGATCATTCTGACACTAATTACATACCTTGCTTTTTTAGAAAGGAAGCAAAAGCTTTTCTGAGAAGGTAACAGTTTGAGCTCAAATTTAAGTTGAAAAGAAGCTAGCCATGCCAAGGTATGAAAAAGAAAGTTTTCAGGTAGCAACAGAACACAGAAGCTGGGATGTTCAAGAAATAGAGGTCAGTGGAGTTAGGGCAGTGTTTTCCAAACATTCTGGACTGTAACCAGAGATCAAGAAACACATTTTATGCTGTCAACCAGTATATAAACCAACAGGCCTGTGATAATCTTAGAAGTAATACTCAGCCTTCACACCAGTGTGCTGTGGCATTTCCCATTCTACTCCACTCACAAAAAGTACTCATCCTGACTCTCTTAGTTGACTTTAGTATCCACTAATGGGTTTGGCAGAATTGTGGGGGGAAAAAATCAAGAAAACACTTGCCTGAGTAGTGAGTTCAAGAGAACATCTTATGAGATTAAATCTGAATGACAGATAAGGGGCAGATAATATACAGCCTTTTTAAGCAGAAGAGTGCACTTTCTCCCTTTCTTTGGGTCTGAATTTCCATCAGGTATCATTTCTCTTCAGCCAGAAGAACCTCCTTATCAGTTCTTATAATCCAGGTTGTTGAAGTTGCTCAGTTGAGTCCAACTCTTTACAACCCCATGACTCTATACAGTGCATGGAACTCCCCCGGCCAGAATACTAGAGTGAGTAGGCTTTCCCTCCTGCAGAGTAACCCAGGCTGACCAATGACAAATTCTTCACGCAGCATTCTACAGTAGCTGTAGCATATTGGCAGCGACTGTCTTCTTGTTTCAACAGCTCCATAAGAAGAGCCGGCTGCCGCCCTTACCTTGGGGCAGGAGAGACGGATACAAGGTTTCCCATCTGTCTCTCCCCCTGGCTGGCTGCTGCTGCTTTTGTTTCCGGTGGTTCTAACACGCTGTGCTTAGCTTAATTGGGGTTTCTCCATAAATTTTTAAAAGTTGCTCTGTTAAGGGCAGTGAGTTTCTCAGACATGCGGGGTTGTTGTTTGGGATCAAACTTACATAATTTTGGGCAGTATTTACTGAAATGATTTCCTGCATTGCTCTCTCTTCTGAAGCTCCAATCAGATGTATGTTCACTGTTTGCTGTTTCTCCCAGAGGTTTCTGTCTCTATCTCTTGTTTTAATCTTTCTTTTCAAACCATGCTAGATTTCTACTGCCCTGTGTTCGGGTTCCCTGATTTTTTCCACTGTTGGGCCAATACCTCCTACTTGCACCTAATGATGTTCTTGGCGGCTGGGTTAGTAGATACAAAGTGCAGACAAAGTGAATCTCACCCTTAAGGCTACAACTGTATCAGTTTTCATGAATCAAAACAATCATGTAATTACCAGCACAATAACAAAAATTCCATTATCTCCAAATACTTCATGCCACTTTGTATCAACCCTCCAGTTCTCAACCACCTTCCCCACCCAGCCAACCACTCATCTGTTTCCTGCCTGATGGTGTTGCTTTCACAGAATGTCCTAATGGAACCACAGCCTCTGAGTATGGCTATTTTACTTAGCATAATTCATTGGAGATTCTTTTGTTGCATGATTCAGGAAGTCATTTCTTTCCGCTGTAGAGTATTATTCCATTGTATGGACACAGATTAGGCTGTTCATCCATTTCCAGCTGAAGGACGTGAGTTAACTCCAGTGTGGAATGATTATGACTAATGCTACTTTGAATATTCTCATACAGGTTTCTATATAAACATACATCTTTTTACTTACATTGCTGAGGCGTAGGTTAAGTGTATATTTAACCTTATAAGGGATTGCCTGTCTTCCAAACTATTCATTATCACTCTGTATTCTTACCAGCAATGTATTAAGCATTCCTACTGCTGTATATTCTTGCCTATTAATCATATTGTTAGTCTTTGGTTTTTGGGTTTTTTGTTCAGCTATGCTAATAGCTGTTTACTGACATCTCATTGTAGTTTTAAATTCCATTCTGTAATTTACTATGAACTGAGCAACTTTCCATGTATTCTTGGATCCACACATCTTCTTTGGTGCAATAGGTCTATTCATGTTGCCCATTTTAAAAAACTGGGTTGTTCTCTGATTGTGTTTTGAGAGTTATTTATATATTGTAGATTCAAGTCCATTAGCAGATATATACTTTGCAAATGTTTCCTACCAGTTTATGACTCATTTTATTCCTTCTTTTAATAGTGTACTTGAAGTAGAAGTTTCGAATTTTAATAAGCCCAGTATATTAACATTTCTTCTTTAAAGAATCATGGTTTTAGAGTTGTATTTAAAAAATCTTTAACTAAGGCACAAATATTTTCTATTGCTAAAGCAAAAATCTTTTGGTTTTAGATTTCACATTTAAGTTTTGGTTCACTGTGAGTAAATATTTGCAAATGGTGCTAACATAGTGTTGAGGGTTTTTTTTTTCCCCCCAAAGGTTGTATTTTTGTGTTCCATGCTCTGCATGGCTGTCCTTTCACCAATACCACACTGTCTTGATTATAGTCCTCACAGTAGTGTTTATCAGAAGTCTTGACAGCAGGTAGAATGAGATGACTTTTTTTTTTCCTTCCAAATTTCTACTGACATTTCTAGTTCTTTTATTTTTCTAAATAAATTTTACAATCTTTCTGTCAGGTTCTGCTGGGATTTCATGGGATTGTGCTGAATTTATAGATCAATCATAGAGGATTGACATCTTTATTTTATTGTATTTTCTAACCCATAATCACTGAATTTTCTCTATTTATTCAACTTTTGTTTAATTTCTTAGACTTATTTTTACCATTTAAATATTTCACATTGTTGTTAGATTTACACACAAGTATTTCGGGTTTTCAAGTTGGTGTAAATAGTACTTTAAAAATTTCAATTTCTACTGGTTTTTTACTAGTATATAGATGTACAGTTGATATCTGCATGCTGATCCTGCTAAAACTTCAGTCTTTCAGGTTTTCTACAAAAATAATCTTGCTGTAAGTGAATAAAGTCTATTTTATTTCTTGCTCTTCAATATGTATGGCTTGTTCTACTATCTAAGAACTCCAATACAAGGCTGAGTAGTGTTTTAACATAAGACACTTTTGTCTTGTTCCTATCTTAGATAAACATAACCACTCTTTTACTATTATAATATTAGCTGGGGAATTTTTATAGGTGCCTTTTGTCAGCTTCAGGCAGTTCCCTTATATTCCTCATTTGCTGAGCTTTATAATGAAGAGATAATGAATTTTGTCATATGTACTTTTTTCTCTGCATCTATTAAGGTGGTCATTTTTTTTTCTTTCCTTCAGTTTCTTCATATGGTAAATTGCACTGATTTTTAAATTTGAATCATTCATGCATTCATAGAATAAATTTCACTTGATTATGATGTACTCTTGTTTTTTTTAAGAGGATTTGATTTACTAATATTTTGTTTAAAAGTTTTAGTTCTATGCCCACTTTGGATACTGTATAACACTTTTCTTGCAGTGTTTCTGTCTGGTTTTGGTATCAGAGCAACACTGTTCTCATGAAATAAGAAGTACTCCCATTTCTTTAATTTTCTTGTAGACTTTGTATAGGGATGCTACTATTTGTTCCTTAAATGTTTGGTATAATAATACCCTAGCAAGGACATGGGGCCTGCACTACACTTCATGAGGTTTTGGAAAAATATTTATTGAATACAGTTGATCTGCTATATTGTGTTAGTTTCAGGTGTATGGCATAGTGATTTGTTTTTTGTTTGCTTGTTTTTTTTTTCCTCCAGATTATATTCCATATATTATTACTACAGATTATTACAAGATATTGGATATAATTCCCTGTGGGTGCATGCTCAGTTGCTCAGTCGTGTCTGACTCTTTGTGACCCCATGGACTGGAGCCCACCGGTGTCCTTTCCCCAAGGGATTATTCCAGACAAGCAAACTGGAGAAGCCTGCCATTTCCTCCTTCGGGGATCCTGCCAAGCCCCGTCTCCTGTGTCTCCAGCACTGGCGGATGGACTCTTTATCACTGCGCCACCAGCGAAACTCCAGGTAGTTCCCTGTACTATATGGCAAAACACTAGATGCTTATTTTAGGTGTAGTAGTTTGCATCTGTTAATCCTATGCTCCTAATTTGTTGTCCCTACCTAATCCCTTTGGTTAACTATAAATTTATCTACTTCATCTGAGTCTGTTTTTGTTTTGTACATAGTATCATTTGTAATTTCTTTTTTATTCCACATTCAAGTGATATCATATAGTATTTGTCTGTCTGTGTCTGACTTAATTCACTAAGCACAATATTCTCTAAATCCATCCATGTTGCTAAATACTTGTTGCTTATTTATTTCAGGTATAGCAGCTTGTATCTGTCAATCATCCCATGCTTCTAAATTGCTGCCCCCTTCCCTCTTCCCACTGGTAACTATAAGTCTGTCTTCTACATCTGAGTCTGTTTTTGTTTTATATGTAGAATCATTTGTATTATTTTTTTGATTCCACATTCAAGTAATATCATATAATAATTTTTCTGTCTCATTTATTTCACTAAGTATGATATTCTCTAAGTCCATCCATGTTGCTGAAATGTAAGTATTTTATTCTTTTTAAAAAACCAAGTAATATACCAATATACACACACAAAAACAGAAAACATTTTAATCCAATCACCTGCTAATGGGCACTTGAGTTATTTCTGTCTTGGCTATTGTGTAAACAGTGATGCTATGAACACTGGGGTAAATGTACCTTTTTGGATCAGAGACTGTTTTTTTCACATGTATACCCAGGAGTAGGTCTGCAGATCATAGTTCTATTTTTAGGTTTTTAAGGAACCTCCAGACTGCTTTTTTTACTAACTGTACCACTTTACATTCCCACCAACAGTTTAGGAGGGTTCCCTTTTCTCCACATCCCTTATAACATTTATTATTTATAGGCTTTTCGATAATAGCCACTCTGAAGAGTGTGTTTTTGACACTCTCACCTCCCTGTGTTTTTCATTTGCATTTCTCTAATAATTTATGATTTTGAGCATCTTTTCATGTACATGTAGGCCATATGTATGGCCTTTCTCTTTTGAAGAAATGCTGATTCAGGTATGCCCATTTTTTAATTATGTTCTTTGTTTTTTCAATATTGACTTACATGAGGTGTTTGTGAATTCTGGATATTAACCTCTTGTCATTTGCATCATTTGCAAATATTTTCTCTCATTCCATAGGTTGTCTTTTGGTTTTGTTGATGGTTTCCCATGCTATGTTAAAGCTTTTAAATTTGATTATGTGCCATTTATTTCCCCCCCTCTTTTTTTTTCTGCCTTGGCAAACTGACTTGAAGAAAATATTGCTATAATTCTGTCAGAGTGTTTTATGGTGTCATGTTTTACATTTAGGTTGTTACACCAATTGAGTTTGTTCTCTATGTGCAATTTATTTGTGTATATGGTTCTATCTAACTTCACTGTATTACATGTAGCTGTCCAGCTTGAAGCACCACTTGAAGAGACTGTCTTTTCCCCATTGTATGTTCTTGCCTTCTTTGTCATAGGTTAATTGATCATAGGTGTATGGATTTATTTCTGGGCTCTCCATTCTGGTCATTGATCTATGTGTCTGTTTTTGTGCCAAGTATCACACTGATTTGATTAATGTAGCTTTGAAGTACAACCTGAAATTAAGGAAAGGATATACCTAGAGCTTTGTTCCTTTTTCTCAGGATTGCTTTGGCAATCCTGGGTCTTTTCCATATAAATTTTAGGATTATTTGTTCTAGTTCTATGAAAAATGTCATAGGTATTTTGAGAGCCATTGTATTAAATCTGTAGATTGCTTTGGGTAATATGGTCATTTCAGCAATATTAATTGTTCCAATCCAAGATCCAAGAGCACAGGATATTTCTCCATTTCTTTAAAAATTGTTCAGATTCCTTTACTGATATTTTATAGTTTTCAGTATACAGGTCTTCCACTTCCTTGGTTAAGTCAATTTTAGGTGCTTTTTATTTATTTTGGATACAATTTTAAATAGAATTCTTTTTTTGACTTAGTCTGATATTTCATTATTTGGGTAAAGAAACACAACAGATTTCTCCATGTTCGTCTTGTATCCTCCTACCTTGCTGAATTCATATATTAAGTTCATCCAGTAGCTTTTATGACCAACCTAGACAGCGTATGTAAAAGCAGAGACATTATTGCTGACAAAGGTCCGTCTAGTCAAAGTTATGGTTTTTCCAGTAGTCATGTATGGATGTGAGAGCTGGACTATAAAGTAAGCTGAGCACCAAAGAATTGATGCTTTTGAACTGTGGTGTTGGAGAAGACTTGAGAGTCCCGTGGACTGCAAAGAGATCAAGCCAGTCAATCCTGAAGGAAATTAGTCCTGAATATTCATTGGAAGGACTGATGCTGAAGCTGAAACTCTATACTTTGGCCACCTGATGCAAAGAACTGATTCATTAGAAAAGACTCTGCTGCTGGGAAAGACTGAAGGCAGGAGGAGAAGGGGACGACAGAGGATAAGACGGTTGGAAGGCATCACCGACTTGATGGACATGAGCTTGAGCAAGCTCCAGGAGATGGTGATGGACAGGGAAGCCTGGTATGCTGTAGTCCATGGGATTACAAAGAGTTGGACACGACTGAGCAACTGAACTAGAGCTCTTATGAAGACTTTAGCATTCTCTATGTAGAGTATGATGTCATCTGTACATAGTGACAGTTTTACTTATTCCTTCCTATTTTGGATAAATTTATTTCATTTTCTTTTCTAACTGCTGTGGACTATAGGACTTCCAATACTATGCTGAATAGAAATGGTGAGAGTGGACATCCTCGTCTTGCTCCTGAATTTCAGGAAGGCTTTCAGCTTTTCACCTTTGAGTATTGCGTCGTCTGTGGGCTTGTTGTAAATGGCCTTTATTATGTTGAGATATGCTCCTGCTATACGCAACTTGGTGAGTTTTATCATGAATGGACATTGACTCACTTGACAAAATTTCCTTCTGCACAAAGATGATTCAACATAAGCAAGTCAGTCAATGTGATATACCTTAATAACAAAAGACAAAATCTGCATGAGAGAAAGGTTTAAGCTGTTATGTTTAAAGCTGTTTTATTCCTTTATTGTCATTTAAATGTCTACAGTATATTTCATGACATCTCTTTCACTTGTGATACTAGTAATCTGTATCTTCTGTTTTCTGTCAAACTGCATACTGATCTTCTACAAGAAGCAGGTGTTGATTTCTTGACTGTCTCTATATTCTCTTTTCAATTTCATTGCTTTTTTTCTGTCTTCATTATTTGCTAGTTTTATTTGCTCTTTTTCAGTTTCTTACAGTGGAAGTTTAGGTTATTGATTTGAGACTTTTCTCATTTTCCAATGTAAGTACTTCATACTTTAACTATCCTTCAAAGCAATGTTTCTGTTGTACCCAACAAGTTCTGATATTTTGTGTCTTATTTTTACTATGTTTAAAGAAATTCTGATTTCTTTTGTTATTTTGTCTTTGATTTATTAATTCTAAGTGTCTTGCATAATTTTCAAATATCTGGGGATATTCTAGATTATGTTTTGATTTATACATTCACCCCATTGTTGATCAGATAATGTACTCCAAATGATTTCAATTCTTCAAGATTTGTAAAAATTTTCTTATAGCCTAGAATATGGTAATAAGACTGGTCCCTCTTCACTTGAGAAAATATTTTGGTATTATTCAGTGGATCCTTTCTTTCAAGAGTAAAAATCCCTCCTGTGTCTCCTTGCTTTTTGATCATGCTCTAACACCTTAAATATTCTTTTTAAAAAAGATTTTCCCAAGCATTTATCTATCATATCTATGAGACAATTTACATCTCTCACAATTTACACTACCATTTCCTGCAGCCACACTGTCATACTTCTTGTAATACAATACAACACTTAAGAAAAAGCATGTTGAATTTTTGATGCTTTCATGGAAAACAGTCTTAACTCATGCAAATACACAGTAGTTTGCAATGTATCAACTGGAATGCCAAGAACCTGCCTGGTGAGATGTTGGAAACTCTACAATGAGAAGTAGTTTTTATTTGGTTTGACTGATATTAAATCAAATTAGAAACCAACTTAACAGGAGACTCAAGCACATATGACTGTTTTTACTTATAGGTAAAACTATTTACAAAGTTTCTACAGTATTGACAAATTAAGAAGGAAATAAATAGAAATATTACCTTTACACTGAGGAGGCTGACTACTCCATTCATCATTTCCAATACAAGTAAGCTTGCTCTCTCCAATAAGTGAATATTCATCTGGTCCATCTGAAGGATTACAACTATAAGTTACTACTTCATTGTAGTCAAACGTTTCCTTGTCGCTATTGGTGTATTTTCCATTTTGAATTGCTTCAGGTGGTTTACACTTAATCCCTTAAAAAGAAAAAAAAAGAGAACATGAAAGTCTAAAGGGAAGTGTAAAGGATTAAACAGCATTGTAAGGTCCCGTGAATTGCCTTCAATAAATTCATTACCATATGACTGCTATATACTAGTTGTGAATCCACTATCCATTTAGAAGAAGCTTTTTATGAGAAAATATATTATTGTAAACTCAAGCTATTAATCTACAAATGAATTTCTAGAATAAAACTCATTTTCTTAAAGTCATGAAATACCTACATGAGATACATATATTTACCTGTAAGGCCAAACTAAGTTATGTTCTCATCATAAGAGATGCTGACAATTTAAAGATATAATATGATCATGATTAAAAACAGGACTCAGTGCTAACTGAGAAATGCTTCATAATTTGTAAATGTATCTGTTTGCTAAGTCAGTTCTTCACACTAATACCAATTATTACTGTCATTTTCACCTTCATCCTTACAAGTGTATTGTGAAATTTTCCAGAAGCTATAAACTGTGTGATTTTTCAAGTGACTAAATCCTGATGCTTTCCTTAAAGCCAAACATTGAAGAAATTTGCAAAAATGTAAAACAAAACCATTAGTTAGAATGTTTTTATTTTTTCATTAAATATGTGTTATATACTAATAGGTACACATTTATTCTTCTTGAAAATGAATTAATAAATAATTATCTTATAAAGTCTTCAGGATTAATTCAATAGAATAGAATTGACATAGCATAACTCATAAGATTATATGGATTATGTCTATACACATTGTTATGACAATAGACATACCCATATAAACAAAAGCTCACTGGTGTCTATGTTAATCTGAAAGTATAAAGGAGTCCTGAGGCCAAAAGTCTGAGAATTACTGCTCTTCATTCTGATAACATACTTACTTTCACATGTTGGAGGATTATCGCTCCAGTCCACACCCTCTGCAGAAATCTCACAGTAAGAAATACTTGGCCCAGCTAAGTAGTAGCTAAATGAGAAAAGAAAAGTCACTATGTTCTTCAGTAGTCACAGGTGAATACAGTAATGAAAACAATTTTACATGGCTGTTTTTCTGCACTAGAGTAACCGGAGAGAGAAGTTTCTTAAACAAAGTATAATGGAAATGCTTACTAAATCTGCAACTTAATCAAATAAAAGTTTCTGCATCTGAATGAATAAATACACATTTGGCCCACAGCAAAATGTCTAAATTACTCTCTCATGCTGCCTGGCATCTTTGCCATATCTGACAAATGCATCACACATTCACGTCTACGCTTTTGCTCACACCTTTCTGCTCCATAAGAACTGAACAGAGAGAAGGCCCTAGAGCTTGGATTTTGCCCACCCCAGCACCCGCAGGCCACTTATAAGCTGCTCTAGCAGCACATGCACAGATGCCTGCCTGGATTCAAGTTCCAGCCCCAAGATCGACTTATTACCTGGGCTTGGGAAAGTCCATTAAAGTGCTCTTGTTCAGTGTCCTCATATATGAAAAGCAAGACAATAGTACACACCTCACGGGACTGTTTCAAGGATTGTATGCGTTAGCATCTGGCACAGTGAGTACTAGCTAAGTTTCAGGTCTTATTAAAAGTCTTTAGAGTAGTAATATTCAACATACAGGCATACCTCATTTCACTGCTGTTCACTTAATTGCGTTTTTAACAAACTGAAGCTGTCTGGCAACCCTGCACCGAAAAATCTACTTGTGTTCATGTTTCCAACAGTGTTTGCTCACTTCATGTCTCCGTGTCACATTTCGGTAAATCTCACAGATTTCAAACTTTATTACTGTTATTATGTCTGTTATGGTGACCTATGATTTCTGTCTGTCTTGTGACTATGATTCTCTGGGGCTCGGATTACGGTTAACACTTTTTGGTAACATCGTATGCTGAAAGTAAGACATGTACATTTTCTCAGACATGCTGTTGTGCAATTAACAGACTATACTACAGTGTAAACACCTGTAAAAAACTCAGTTGATCTGCTTTACTGCAGTGGCCTGGAAGTGAACCTGCGGTCATCTCCAAGGTATGCCTGTATCTTTCTAGTAGTAAAATGGTTTAGGAACACTACTCAATGAAATCTTCTCTGATCATTTAAATTGATAGTACACTCTTCTCCAGGACTCTCATGGTAAAGATCACGAAAATTATCTATTTGGTGCTTTCCATTTACTATTTTGTTTTGACACCTCTCTATATATTGTGTTTCTGAAGAAGACTACAACTTCCTTGAGTCTCCTGGTACCTAACAGTCTCTTTCTTTCTATTCACTGGACCTCCCACTATTTTTACTTGATCAAGTTAAAAAATACCCAGTGTATCTGCCTGTACCGACTTCCAGATGACTCTTCCCCAAGGGTTAATGCACTGATTCTAGATTATAACACGTTAAGTAAAGGACTCTGGGATGATGGGAAAACAGGTGGCAACAGGAATCTGTCTCCCCACCTTAACGACAGATTCACTGATAGAATCTGCCTGACTTCCATTGTTTTGGAAATCTAGAATCTCTTCATGGCTTGCACTTCAGAGGAGAAGACTTGGACAGGTAAATTAACTTAATTCCGGTCAATCTGAGCTCTCAGCACAGTGGCAGCTCCCCGCCCCCCACCTCAGCAGCCTCTGTTCACACACAGCTGGAGCAGCTTATACGCAGCTTGTGGGAGCTGGGGCGGGCCAAGAGGGGCCTGTCCTCCCCTCCAAAGGGCAGGGATTTATGCTCTTATCCCTGCTGCTTCCAATCCCAGAGGAGCAAAAAAGAGACAGGCAGCCACTGTGTCACACCTCCCCCAGCTTTTTCAAGCTCCTTCAACACTGGCCAAACAAGTTCCAAGAGATTTGAAATCCAGCACCTCTTGCTCCCTCTTTCACTTTTTTCCCCTCACTAGCAGAAGTATGAGTGAAAGTGGCTCGGTCATGTCCTACTCTTTGCGACCCCAGGGACTATATACAGTCCATGGGATTCTCCAGGCCCGATTACTGGGGTGGGTAGACTTTCCCTTCTCGAGGGGATCTTCCCAACCCAGGTCTCCCACACTGCAGGCAGATTCTTTACCAGCTGAGCCACAAGGGAAGCCCAAGAATACTGCAGTGGGCAGCCTATCCCTTCTCCAGGGACTCTTCCCGACCCAGGAATCAAACCGGGGTCTCCTGCATTGCAGGTGGATTTTTTACCAACTGAGCTATCAGGGAAGCCAATAGCAGCAGCTGGACATTAAATACTGCTGCTGCTAAGTCGCTTTAGTCATGTCTGACTCTGTGTGACCCCACAGACGGCAGCCCACCAGGCTCCCCCATCCCTGGGATTCTCCAGGCAAGAATACTGGAGTGGGTTGCCGTTTCCTTCTCCAATGCGTGAAAGTGGAAAGTGAAAGTGAAGTCGCTCAGTTGTGTCCAACTCTTCGCGACCCCGTGGACTGCAGCCTACCAGGCTCCTCCGTCCATGGGATTTTCCAGGTAAGAGTACTGGAGTGGGTTGCCATTGCCTTCTCCGGTACATTAAATACTAGGATATTCCAAAATAACTGCCATGTGGAAAAAAAATTAGAAAACGACTGTGCATGCCCAGAGAAAGGCTCAGAAAATACCTGAATCGGCAGTGAGACACCATACAATAATCAAAAAACAAAATCAAAATAAAAGAGGGGCCGAATCTGATTTTTCAGAGTTACCACACTGTTAGATTTCATATACTGATTCCACAAAAAAGTCACAGGGCATACGAAGAAACAGAAAAGAATATATGGCTCATAAAATGGAAAGACAAATGAAAAGAACTTTTTTTCTGAAGGAGACCTTATGACAGATCTATTAAACAAAGACTTTAAAAGGTGTGTCTTGTGAAGTCACTCTCTCTGGAAATAGGTGGGTGCCAGTTCTGCCACCCCACTTTTTGTCAACAAAGCAGTCAGAGAGCAGACCTGCAGATGTAGATCTTTGTGAAGACCCTGATGGACAAGACCATCACTCCCGAGGTCAAGCCGGGTGTCACCAGGAAGAAGGTTAAAGTCAAAATCAAAGACACAGGGCATCCTGCCTCACCAACAGAGTTTGACTTTTGCAGAAAAGTTGCTGAGGGGGCCAAGCTTTCTCAGACTATAATATCCAGAAGGAATCCACCCTGTCCTTGGTGCATCACACGTGGGGTGGCATCATCAAACCTTTCCTCTGCCAGCTTTCCCGCAAGTGCGACTGCCACAGAACAATCTGCTGCAAGTGCTGCACCCACCCGCACACCCATGCTGTCACCTGCCACAAGCAGCGAGGCTAGGCCAACAACCTGGGCCCCAAGACGACCAGGCAAACACACCCTTTTCACTGGCTCCTCTCTGCCCCACAGGGCGGCCCCTACCGTGGCCCCGTGGACCTGGAGCCTCAGTGAGACTGGGAAGAAGTAACAGTTGTTAAGATGGACAAAGAACTAAAGGAAGAAATGTAGAAAGTCTATAGAGAACAATATGCGAACCCAATGGAAATATCAATTAGAGACAGAAAACCTAAAAAGAATCCAAAAGTAAATTCTTGAGTTGCAAATTACATTAATGGAAAAGAAAAAGTCACTAGAAGAATTGAAGGCATATTTGAGAGGAAAGATTAGTAGAACTGATATAGGGTAACAGAAATGGCTGACTCTGAGAAAGAAAAAAGATTGAAGAAAAGTGGAGAAAGCCTAAGGAATCTGCGGGACACCAATAAGGAGACCAGCATATACACTACAGGACTCTCAGAAAAGGGACAGAGAGAGTTTTTATAGAAATAACAGCTGAGGACTTCCAAAATTCCATAAAAGACAGGAATATAAATATGTCAAAAGCTTAAAATTCTAAGTAAGATGAATACAAACAGACCTGCACAAAGCCATCATAATCAAACTTTCAAAAAACAGAGACAAAGAATACTGAAAACTGCAAGAGACAAGAGAAACATCGTATGTCAAGCATCGTAAATAAAGATTATCAGCAGCTCTGTCATTAGAAATTCAGAGTCCAGAAGAAAGTTATTGATATAATTAAACAACAACAAAAAACTCAAGCAAAACCCCCCATCCAGCAAAACTGAGCATCAAAAATGAGGAAAAATTTAAGACATTCCCAGAATTAAAAACTTAAGAAGTATGTGAGTACTATACACTCAAGAAGAAATGTGAAGGGAGTACTGAAAAGGGAATGAAGGGTCTCAAAATCTTACGTATTAAAAAAAAAACTCAGCAAAGGTAAATAAAAAAGCAATTATAAGAGCTAGCATTACTGAAACAGTGGTTAGCAACCACAAATTTTGCTTTCTATGTGATTTAAAAGACTAAATTATAAAATAAATAAATACTAGTATTTATTTATTACAATTATTCGTAATTGTAATACTAGTATTACAATTATTCGTGTAGACAGCAGTATGATATCAACAACCAGAAAGGGCAAGTATGGGGCAGTAAAGGACTGATTTTGTAATTTATTGAATTTAAGTTGGTATAAATTCAACCTGGAGTGTTGTAACTATACAATGTTTTTTTGTTTTGCTTTGTTTTGGTCATGCTATGAATCTTACTGGATTCACGGCTTGGATCTTAGCTCCCCAGTCAGGGATCGAACCTGTGCCCCCTGCAGTGGGGGTGAAGAGTCCGAACCCCTGGACTACCAGGGAATTTCCATGTAACAATACAGCCACAGGATATACATAAAAGGAAATGAGACGGAAATTTAAATATTTCACTACAAAAATCAACTACACAAAAAAGAAGACAGTAATGTAGGAAATGAGGGACTAGGAAAGAAAGCTATAAAGCTTATAGAAAATAGCACAATAACAGAAATAGGTCCCTCCTTGCTCCAACCAAATCCTATCTATAAGAGACTCACTTGACAACAGAAGACATAAATGGAGTGAAAATGAAAGGCTGGAAAAAGATATTAGTAACCAAAACACAGTTGAGTAGCTATACCAAAATCTCACAAAATAGACTTCAAATTTTAAAAAAAGGTTACAAGAGACAAAGAAGGAAATTTTATATTAACAACTGTTCAATACTGCAAGAAGATATAACAGTTATAAACATTTATGCACCTAATGAGAAGCCATCAAAACATATGAAGCAAGAAATGACAGAACTGAAGGGGCAAATAAACATTCCTACATAATAAGCATTTCTCCAATATTAGTTGGAGACTATAATACCTCACTCACAATAATGGACAGAACAACTACACAGAAGATAAACAGAGGACCTTACTAAGAAAATAACCTGACCTCAGATATATACAAAGCACTCCAGCCAACAAAAACAGACTATATAGTCTTTCCAACAGCACATGGGATATTTTCCAGTATAGACCATATGCTAGGCTATAAGTAAGGAAACAATGTTATTCAAACATAATCATTTAACAAATAATACTATGTTTATTTTATGCTACAAATTTAATTTTAAGTAATAGATTTTAAAAGGTAGATATTATACAAAGTATATTCTTTGACCACACTAGGAAGAAGTTAAAAATCATTACCAAAAGAAAAACTGAAAAGTCATGAAATTGTGAAAATTAAACAGTATGTTTTAAGTCAACCAATGGTTCAAAGCAGAAATCAGAGTGATTAAAACATACCTTGACAAATGGAAGGTAAAATATAACATATCAAAACTTACGGGATTTAATGCCAAAGGGGAAATTTACACCTATAAATGTTTACATTAAGAAATGATACCTCTGAAAGTTCAAACTAAGTTTACAAGTTAAGGAACCAGAAAAAGAAATAAATCCAAGGCTAGCAGAAGGAAGTAAATAATAAAGATTTATTATGGTTTAGTTGCCATATTAGAACAGAGATAAACAAAGAGCAAAACAATAGAGAAAAATCAAAGAAACCAAAAGTAGGTTCTTCAAAAAATGCAAGAGTTGAAAAACCTTTAAACAGACTAAAAGTGATTAGACTCAAATTACTAAGTCAGAAATAAAAGTAGTAACACCACTACTGATTTGACAGAAATAAAAAATACTTTATGAGTACCATGAACAATTTTATGCCACAAATGGAAGCACTAGATAAAAGAGACAAACTCCTAGAAACACAAAACCTACCAGGACTCAACCACCCAAACAGATAATCTGAATAAACCTTAACTAGTAAGGAGATGGGAGAAGGAAACGGCAACCCACTCCAGGATTCTTGCCTGGAGAATTCCGTGGACAGAGGAGCCTGGTGGGCTGCCGTCCATAGGGTCGAACAGAGTCGGACACAATGGAAGCGACTCAGCAGCAGCAGCAGTAAGAAGACAGACTCAGTAACCAAAAATCTCTCAATTAAAAAACAATTCTGGATCTAATGGTTTCACTGGTGAATCTACCAAACATTTAAAGAAGTAACACCAATCTTTTCCAAACTTTTCCAAAAAGCTAAAGAGAAGGGAAGTCTGAGCTCATTCTATGAGATGAACATTACCATGATAGCAAAATTTGACAAAGACACAATGAAAGTTAGATCAACAGCTTTAAAAACACCGATGCAAACAACCTCAACACAATACTAGTAAACAACTCAACAGCATCTTAAAAGGATTAAACATCATGAGCAAGTGAGAGTTATCCCGAGAATGCAAGGGATGGCTCAACACATTAAAAGATCAATCATTGTAATAAGCTGTATCAAAAGAATGACAGAGAAAAAAATCACATGATTACCTCAACTGAGGCAGAAAAAAAACTTGACAAAATTTGATCAGAACAGGCATGGACAACTAGTTTTACCACTTTTATTCAACATGGAACTGGAAGTTCCAGCTAGAGCAATTAAGCAAGGAAAAAATATATGTATGTATGTATATATTTCTACTACATAGAAAACCCTAAAGATTACGCATGCACACACATAAACACAAATACAAATGTGGGACCTAATAAACTCAGTAAAGTACCAGGATACATAGACAATAATAAAAAACCAGTTGCATTTGCAGAGATATCACATTTATCCTTTAAATTCACATTTTTAAAAAATGCTCAGTATCCTTAATATATACTATTAAGAGAGCCCTGTAGAACAAAGGCTGTTATTAAATACTCAGTACCTCTTTGAGATGCTTCACTCCTTTGTAGCAGTTTCAACAATAAGTTTTCCAACTAAAAGATTCTGATGAAGATTACTGTCTAAGCTAGCCAGGTCAACTTTGGTCTAGTAACATCTTATGGATTACTTAGATGTAAGAACAACTATAGTTGGCTAATCCACTTCCCAGTTCTATAAACCCTATTTCAAATCTCAGAATTGGACATTTTACTGACAAATAGAGTGCACTGTATTGTCAAGCAGTCACCATGATTTTCCAATGTTTATGATAGGTTTATTCATACATATACTAAATTTTATACCATTTCACTTTCCTTCAATTTAAATTTCTATTAGTTACTCATCTTTTCAATCTTCATAAAAAGCCCAGGGTTATTTGACTACCGTATGACTTACATATAAAGCAAAATGAAATCAACTTTATGGCAACGCTTAAGAAAAGAGGCAAAATGAAAATGGACTTAGTCACACATAACCTTATTTTCTCTAAGGAGCAGCCTACTTACCCCTTATTACAAACATAGTGAGCCTGGGAACCAAACTCAATACTTCCATTTACAAAGATAACTTGGCCATTTATGGGATCACCTAGGGAAGGACACCGTCTTCCTAAAAGCAAAAGATCAAACTTGTTTTACACCCATTTCAAAATAGATCTGAATCAAATTCAAAATTCTATATGGCTTGTTTGAACTCATGGGAATATTATTACTTTTATTATTATTTTCTTGTTTTAACTATTATAATGCCACATAAGATTCATAATTACCCAGGCAACCAATTGTGACGAAAACGATTCCCTGGAGATTTTTCAAAGCCTGAATGCATGGCTATCTAAAAACCTACATTCACATGAGAAAACGATCATTTCAGTAGTAAAATACTCTAAAATGTGTGAAAATCTCTACAGCAATAAAAAGTTTTTTGAATTAAAAAAAAATTTGTTTACTTACTTTTACAGGCCTCCTGGAGAGACGACCATGTAGTATCATTCTGACAAGTAACAGAGAGGACTTGACCAGGAGTTATTGGCTGGAAACCCAGACGACATTCATACAGTACTTCATCCCCAGGTTTATAACTGGATCCAAAGGCACCCTTGGGCTTCATAGTGACAAACTCTGGTGGGTCACCACAGGCATCTAGGAATAGAGAGAATAAGAGCATAAAAATAAATCATTTTATCTTATTCACCAGACAGGGACTGTGGCCTGGCAACAGATAAGTAGTACAGAACAAACGGAAAAGTTCTTAGCAGGATTTTATATGTGCTTTGCTTACTTTAAATAACAACCTCTGAGCTTTTGGCCTGTTGGAGAACAAGATGAATTTTAGTTCAGCAGGAAATGGAAGAGACAGCATCAATGTGCTTGGTTCTGAAATGTAAATGTGTTTATAGGTCCATATCCTTCTCCACTTCTTTTTAAACTCATCATTTCAAAACTCACCTCTCTTCTAAGAAGTCTCCTATAGCACTATGCTCAGATTATTCTTCCAGAGTTTGAAACACAAACATATTAGGCTGTTTTCTCTAAGAAGACAAGGGTCCAGAGGGCAGGAATCATATGCCTTCTTTTTCTACTAAACTGTATACTCAGTTGTAACTTAAGACATGCTGTGATAAGAGGTAAATATAAAATACACATTGAGGGATTAATAAATCAAAATAAACAGGGACCAAAGTACTTCAAAATACTTCATTTGTTTTCTATTAGTGAATTGAAAATTTTTTAAGTGATATATATAGACACCGTGTAAATATCAAAATATAATATTTGGATAGTATTACATGAAAAAAACTTGCTTTCCTGGATATTAAATATAGTTTCATTCTCCTTCACAGATCAATTCCTCAGAAGCTCCCTAAGGTAGCTGGGTTGTTCATCCAACATATCCTGACATAAAGCTACTATCCTGATACGCTTTTAGAGTTTTTTACTTCTGGGGTTTTTGTGGGGAATGTTGAGGGAAAATTTTTTCTCCCTAGAATAATGTCATTTCTATTCAGCAAGTCCTCTTCCTTTTAAGTACCTGAGCACCTGAGAACCTAACAGACCTGTTAGAAAACTTATATAAAATAATGTGATGGAGACACATCAAGTCCTAAAGGGCTAAAGGAATGCAAAGGCCTCGCTTAGAAGGAAAACAGAAACAGACCTATTTTGATCCCTGAGGAACATTTACTTACTTACTCCCTGGATCTAGGTCTTAACTTCAGACTGAGAGAACTCTAAACAAGTGAAATATCACCCTTCTTTCCCATCACATTCTAGATTCTAAACTTCTCAATACTCGTCCAACATTTCACTTATAACATGTCTTATATTATGTCAAGTTAATTGTTTCAACATTTATCAAATGTTTTCAACATTTCTACTTTGCTGATCATGATACATGAATTTTCCTCAATTAACTGCCCATAACAAACCAAAATCAAAGTCACAGGTATTAACATAAAATTTACTGAATACTCTGAGGCACACATTCTATTTTTTATAACAGAAAAGAATGTGGGCTAGAAATGTTACATAATTCTGTTTTAGATAAAAACACACATCATCATTCAAGAATATCCTGGAAGCATCAAGAAAGAACTCAAGTGACCATGCATATGATTAAATTATATATGCGTTCTTTGCTTTATACATTCAATTTCAGTAACTATCTTGAAAGCATAAAAAGAAGGGAGAAATTTCTGATATGACTCTCACATACGAGTCATGTATGAAAAAACATGTGTATGAAAAAACATTTGTCAATTGGTTTTTTTTAATCCATTCAACTAACTTCAAGTATCTCTTCCCAATAACATGTATCATGAAAACAATGCTTTCAACAATACACAGTTTAGAATGTCTGCTTTCGCAATCAGTGGATTATAAGCTTCACACACTATAATGACTGAGTCCAATATCATATTTGTTTTATAATCAGATTTCCTCTCTTCCTCAGAATACTGAATTCTTTTTCCTATAAGGATTTACAAACACTGCCAGCATCAAAAAAAATAGTATCTTGACTCACTTTTTCCTAGAGAATTTACAATATGAACATTACCGGGCTGCAATGCTATACTTAGACTGATGAGTTACAGTCCAAAAGAGCTTGACAACGCTGAGTACCACACACAATGCTATACTTTAACAGGTGCCATTATATAATTCGACAGGCTGCATTCAGAAAATGCTCCAGTTTTCCAGATGAGTTTCAGAAAGGTGAAATCAGTCTCTACTATGGATCAAGAGAACTGCCCACCTCCATACACTTACAAAAGTTGTGCAAGCACTCCCTACTTGCTTGCCAAAGTCATAAAAGTAACTGTCTGAGTCAAGCATAGGCCCACATCCGTGCCCAGGTGGTACCTTTGGATAATCACGGTCTCTAATCAAAACTAGAACTTCAGTGAAACCTGAAGACTCTTTCCCTTTTCTGTCTACACAACCTATTTTTAACGTTCCTTTGCTTCCTCAAAAAGGAGGCTTTAACATCTATACCTATCCATTTTATTTCTCACATTCTACTCATTTCTAGACCTTAAAAAAAAAAACAAAAACCATCTACCAGGTTCAACCAAATAGCCAGCCTCCTTCTAAGTAAATTCAGCCTCATCCTCTGTCCCTCAGTAATTCGCGTTAACCTCCTGTACCATCTGGAGCTACTGATCATTCTCTTAGCTCCCTCATGCCTGAAAAAGCTCTCTTTCCTTGCTACTTATATATACTGGGCACCAAGTTGCCTGTTAACCTGAATTACAAAAAGCGCCCCTTTCCCCTCGCAAACCTTCTAACCCTATCCAGGGCCTGCTCTCAGCAGAGACATCGGGCACCACATGGGCTCCGCAGGCCCCCGCTTTAAAGGCAGGAAGCTTTCCTGTTCCGCATTCGGCCCAGCTGGACTGGCCACTTTCTCAAAGCACACACCTGGCCCGGGCTACCCTAATCCTAGAGAGGCCCCGCGGGGCACGAGGCACACCCCCCCCCGCCCCCGCCCCCGGAAAAAAAACACAGGGCACACTCTCCCCAGAGAAACAGCAGCGGCCTAACAACAACCCCGGCCACCGTCACCACCCTGCAGGTCGGCTCTCGCCTTACGGACTGCATCAGTCCCGGAACCACTCTGCAAGCTTCGGCGGGGGTTCCAACCCGGCCCCAGGTAAACCCCCCAGCCACACCACCCAGGAAAGCCGTGTCCGTGGTGCCCACCCCCCGGTACACCTTCCACCACAACCCCTGACGATCGCGGGGAGGCCCGGCCCCGCGCCTGCGGCCCGAGCCACGAAGGCTCGCAGCAGCGTCCAGCCGGTCCGACCCCGCGCCCCCCGGGTCCGCTCCGGTCCCCCTCCCCGGACAGGGCGCACACGCTACCGGAGGACATGGGCAGCAGGAGGAGAAGCGCCAGGAGAAGCACCCCGACGAAGCGCCCAGAAGAAGCCAGTCTTTCGGGGAGGCGGGGCGGCGCCTTGCGCGCTGCGCAAGACGCCCTCATTTTCGGGGAGAACAGCGGGACACCCGAGACAGCTCCGCAGAGACCTCGCTGAGTCCAGTTCCCCGCTATACAAGAGTCCGAGGCAGCAGCTGCGCGGGCGGCCGGAGCCCCTGGGCTCGCCCAGGGCGGAAGTGACACGGGAGAAGCGGGCGAGGCCGAAGGGGCGGCGGCCCCCTCCCACAGGCCTGCAGGGGAGGGGCGTGGTCTTTCCCCGCCCATGCGCGGGAAGCGCTGCTTGTTCCGCGGGGACCCTGACGGCCTCTGGCTCCGCCCCCGACTGCCTCTAGCTCCGCCCTCTTGCGGACCTACCCGGAAGCCGCTGCAGCTAGAGGGAAATAGCTGGTTCCCCCGGGCTGGGCGTTGTTAAAAGGGACTGTTAACGCCCTGGGCAGGAAGGGTGGGACGGAAACTCGAGGTGGCGTTGTCATCGGTGATCGTTTTCCGGAAGGCTGGATTAAAGAATAAAGGGCAGAGACCTAAAAATAGAACCCTAGAGCTCTGGCAGGGGGAGCAGACATCCCCTCAAGCCCCCATTTTGGCCCTGGGATCCAGTGTCAGGACACCCCTGCCCTTGCTCAGACTTTGGCTTGAGTCAGTGTCAACTATAAATTGGCACTTACCAAGAGCCCTGCTGACTACTGAACAGCGAAGGCATTTGCCACCTGCCTCTAGGGAGACTGAACCCCATGCTGCTGGAAATGTTGACCTTCAACAACCCCAGAGGGAGTTCAGGGTGGAGTGAGGCTCTCTGTCCTCCAGGGAATCTGGTGGGACAGGGCTTTGGATAGTTGGATGTTTTTAGGAACAGATTTTATGATCTCAATCCTTGCATCTCCTCATAGCTAGAGAAGCACTAAATCCCTTCATGGTGACATCAGATCCTCATGACTAACAAATACCTTTTTGCTTTTTTTTTTTTTAAGGGGTAATGGGTATATTCATTATCTTTATTGTGATGGGTGGGGAGTGTCAAAACTTACCAAATTATACATTTTTTCATTAGTTTTGCAATTTATTTATTTTAATTGGACGCTAATTACTTTACAATATTGTATTGATTTTGTCATACATTGACATGAATCCGCCACGGGTGTACATGTGTTTCCCATCCTGAACCCTGCTCCCACCTCCCTCCCCATCCCATCCCTCTGGGTCACCCCAGTGCACCAGCCCGGAGCACCCCGTATCATGCATCGAACCTGGGCTGGCGATCTATTTCACATATGATAATATACATGTTTCAGTGCTATTCTCTCAAATGATCCCACCCTCACCTTCTCCCACAGAGTCCAAAAGTCTGTTCTTTACATCTGTGTGTCTTTTGCTGTCTTGCATAGGGTCATCGTTACCATCTTTCTAAATCCAATATATATATATATATATATATATATATATATATGCGTTAGCATACTGTATTGGTGTTTTTCTTTCTGGCTTACTTCACCCTGTATAATAGACTCCCGTTTCATCCACCTCATTAGAACTGATTCAAATATATTCTTTTTAACAGCTGAGTAATATTCCATGGTGTATATGTACCACAGCTTTCTTATCCATTCGTCTGCTGGTGGGCATCTAGGTTGCTGCCATGTCCTGGCTGTTATAAACCGTGCTGCGATGCACATTGGGGTGCACGTGTCTCTTTAAAATGACCGCTTCATGGCATTGAGCTCCCCCTTCACCAAAACTTTATATATTGGCTTTCCCCCACGGCCACTTTGGAGCAGTCTCTTAGAACTGAGGTGTTGCCTCCCAGGCTGCAGTCCTCGTGTTGCGCCAAATAAAACTTAACTCATGACTCTCAAGTTGTACATCTTTTTTTAGTCGACGTCAGTCATAATTTGGGACAATAAATGAGATTTCCATGGCTGAACGTCTGCTCCTGAAAGTTTCTCCTGGCCTGGTAGATATCAAAAATCATGAAAGGTTTGGCCATTGCTCTCCCAACTGCTAAAGTTAGTTCAGTTCAGTTGCTCAGTCGGGTCCAACCCTTTGCTACCCCATGGACTGCAGCTCGCCAGAAGTTAATTAGTCTCCCCCTGTAATTCCCAGGAGAGGACCCTGGGAAGGTAAATTATTAAATAACACCGGGCCGTTAGCATACAGGGCCTCAACGCTATGGCCTTGCCGTTGAACAACTAAATGTTTTATTGAAGATGAAATACACATGCATGAAAAGGACAAGGATAAAGGGTGCCTTAAGTGCCATATTTCCAGAAGCAATGAATGTCATTAGAGTTGGGATGGGTAGGAATTAACGAGTGACAACTTCTCTGATGAACCAATCTCTCTGCTGGAAAATGAAGAATGAGTAAAATTTATTTGTAGAGTTGAGAGTAAACCTGTATGTCTAGTAATAGGAAAGAAAAGTAACGTGACTGGTATTAAACAGCAGACAAAGGAGTTGACATTTTCTTGGTAATAGTTGGTAAAGGATAAAAATGTCAACCAGTGTGTAAACATTGCAGGCCAGGGGAACCAGTACCCTCAAACTTTTAGTTTTTAACATCACTTTTTGCTTGGTTTAAAATGTTAAATGGACATGACTTTGAAACCACTAGTTCCATTTAGAGTTTACCCCAAGGAAATCATCAGAGTTGTGAACAAAGAGGTATAATTTTGGATAAACTCTTAAATATTTGGCAGAAGTATAAGATTTTTTGGCAGGTATCTTTCTGAAATGAAATTTTGTACAGCAAGAAGTGTAAAAAAGTGAGACACTATGTCATATTCATAAGTTGAAAAAGCAAACTCCAAATCAGTGTGTGCTTTTTGGCATTCCTTTTATTAAAATCGTATATTGACACACTTTTAAAAAGAGTTTACTTGAAAATAAATCAAAATTAACAGTTGATAGGCTTATGTATATTTCATTTTGTGTGTGTGTTTTAATTTTCTGCATTGACCATTTATTACATTTGCAATCAGGTAAAAAAAAAAATTTTTTTTAATCCAACCTGTATATCAACTACTCTTTTGTTCACAGAATGGTGGAAATAGAACCTGTATCACATATGGTTAATGTATGAGGATGGTAAGGAAAGAAATCTCTCCATGTAAACCTCAGATGTATCTTCTGTAATTATAGAACTTTGTATATATTTTGAACAATTTTATATCTGAGATGTATTAAAGATTTTCTAGGCTCAGCAAGCTATGGAATTTCTGCTTCCTCCCAGATCAGCACAACGTTTGGATTTTTGGCAGGGCATACCAGATACTAATTGTGAAGGTGATGTATAAAATGAACACCTTAGTATCTTGGGTTATAAAATCCAGACGCTTCATGATGACAATTAAAGGAGGTATAATTAAGGAGACAGGGAATAGGAAACTCAATGAAGAGGAATTGTCATTTTTGTTATTTCTTATAGTTGTAAAACAGTGATACAACAGAAATGTCTTGTGGCTCCGTGTTGGCACTTAAGAAAACAGATCTACTCACTGTTCTCTGCAGGTACAAGTATGTAATGTTACATGTCAGTTATAGCTGAGTAAAATTGAAAAACACTTCCAATCTATTTCTAGTCTTAGAAGTAAATTCTTTTCTCATGAGAAAATTTAAAAGGAGAAAAATATGACTACTGTTTGGTTTCCTAGTTACAAGTGCTATATTAGATCCAAGAATTGGGTTTCGCTGGAATTTTGTTTAGTCAGTGATATTTCTGGGGTTCATCAAGTCATTCTTACTATAAATGAAGCCTTTTACATAGTTTTCTTAACTTATTTTGGTTTGACTTAAGGGATGCTCCATTTGAAAGGTTTTTGAGCCTTCTTCCCTATTTTTCTGAGCAAGCTCCATGGGGCAGAGATCGTTTTCTTGCTGTATCTCCAGTGTTGAGATAGTTCTAGACCTATACTAGGTGCTTAACAAATATGCATTAAATACTGGATGAAATAAATGGATGTTGCTGTCAAGTGCTTATAACATATTACTGCTGGTTCTCCCCTAGTGAAGATTTACCAAATCCTGGAAAAATTCTGAGAAATTTTGATTTTAATAATGTTAGGCACTGGGAACAAAGCAGGATTTGTCTCTGAAAGGAATGAGCTACGTGTCTACACAGAAAACTTTCCTGAATCAGGAATGGCGAGCTGACTTCTGAAGTGGATCCACTGTTTAACACTTAGCCTTGAAGAGATCATTTTAGTGACAGAGTTCAAAGGGAGAGTATTGACTGTGAACTTCCTAAGGTTCTGAGAGGCATAGAACTTCAGAGTCAGGCTTTGAGTGAAGTAGGGGCTTAAACACTAGTGGTTCCTCCAAATTCCCCAAAGACTTTGTCAAACGGCCAACAAGAAAATGAGGAGAGAATGGAGAGTATATCGTTCGTAGACCAGGTTTTGAGCTCTGTAGTAGCTCTCCTGCAAGCTTTAGGAATGGCGGTAAGATGGAAGGAGGTGTCTGGGGATGCCAGTACATAAAACAAAGTTAGATATCCTTTTCCTCCTAAATTGGTTTATTTACATTTTGTTGTTCAGAGGTGTCGTAGCAATATGAAGGGGCCTGTAAATGCTCTCGGAAGAGGCTTTCCCCTCTTTTTTTTGTTTTTTTGTGTTTGGTGTTCAGTCACTAAGTCCTGTCCTTTTCTTTGTGAGCCCATGGGCTGCAGCATGCCAGGCTCCCCTGTCCTTCACTATCTGCCGGAGTTGGCTCAGATTCATGTCCATCAACTAAAAAGATATACAACAGGAGAGCTGTGAGTTAAATTTTATTTGGGGCAAAATGAAGACAGTACCTCAGATAGCTCTGAGAGCCTTCTCCAAAGAGGCAGTGGGAGAAGGTCAGTGTAAGATTTTGGTGAAGGGAGAGTTCAATGAAATGAAACACTTACTTTACAAAAGGTTTTCTGCTAGTCACAAGGAGCTGATGTCACCATGAAAAGATTTAGTAATTTTCTAGCCATGAAGAGATGCAAGGACTGGGATCGTGAAATCAGTTCCTGAAAATATCTAGCTACCGAAAGAAATGTTCCCCGAGTCTCCGGGAGTACAGGGTG